GTCATTTCACTCTCCCTCCCTCCCTCCCTCCCTCTTCTCCCTCACTCATTCTCTCTCACACTCACTCCACTCACTCACTCACTCTCACTCACCTACTCTCTCACTCACTCTCACTTAGTCTCTCCCTCCCTCCCTCACTCACTCTTATTTCATTCACTCACTCACTCACTTCACCCACTCACTCACTCTCTCCCTCCCTCACACACTCACTCTCTCTCACTCACTCTTCACTTACTCTCTCACTCACTCTCTCACACACTCACTCTCTCACACACTCACTCACTCACACACTCACTCACTTTCTCACTCACTCACTCTTCACTTACTCTCTCTCTCACTCACTCATTCTCTCACTCACTCTCTCACACACTCACTCTCCCTCTCTCACTCTTCACTTACTCACACTCTCACTCACAAAAGACAAAAACAATGTCTTTGTGGATAAATGCATTGGAATTTATCTAGTTATTTACCTTTCAGAGCTATCCTCTTGCAAAGTTATTTCCATGAACGTCTTTAGTTTTTTCTGAACAACGGCTCCCACCTCCTTTACTTTTAAACTCTTATATTTACCTATTGGAAAATTATAATAAGAGATAAAACATTTATATTGAGAGAAAAAAATTCCACTTTACAAAACATACATTCCTATACCTTTGAGTATTTCTATAGAATTGAGCTTACTTATCCTTCCCCGTTTTAGTTACATATCTATTGATCTGTGGATGACTATTAATCATTTCCTCCCACAGGAATGTTGTCAAAGTCAAATGAACATATATGAAACGGATCAGAAAACGAAACGATTTCAATTTCAGTCATTCAATTGTTGAGGAAACACTAAGTGCTAGGAACTCCTCTGCACCCAACTACCATGCTCACAGCTTTATTTGGTGAACCGTCCCTCGTTCTTCAGATCTCAATTGAGTGGTTATGCCCTTAGCATAAGTCTGTGCTGAAGGCCTGTCTACATCATGATCTAGTTCCTTAATGTTTTAAAAAGAAGTTATTTTGGTAGAAGCAATATCTATGTTACTATAGAAAGAAATCAGTAACATCACTAAAACGGAATAAAATATTTACAAATTTTTTTAAAAAGCATTAAGCCTGTATATTATTACTCTTTCTTATACTGAGGCAAGCATTTACAGGTATCTCCAATTATTTTCCCAGTACCATTTCAACTAGCTAGGTGATTCTGAATAGGCAAGGTTGAGGCTAAAGAAAAACAGCAGTTAGGCTAAGTATTACCACCAAAACATACCAAAATTAGCAGATATAAAATCAAATTAGAAAATGTATTAAGACTTCCATAAAGATTGTGAACTAGGCAGATATGCTATCCAGATTTTTTACAACAAAGAATTAAAGAATCAAATGACACAAATATGGATAATCCTATAACCTTAGAGCTCCAACTGAGAATATAAAAATGTAGACCAGATACTGATTACAATAATAAAAATGAGAAAAATGAGAATGGAAGCAACACTATGGAACAGTGAACTGTCAATTGACTTGGAATAGCATGATCATTTTGAATTATTTCAAGTGTTTGAGATAGGCAGAAAACTGGCTCTACTCACCCAATATTGCCCCAGCACCTACATTGGAAGCTGGTAAACAGAATGGTATCATCTCCTTACTTCCTACATACTCTTAGAGACCAAAAGTATGGCTACTCCAAACCCCAGCCCACAGTGGCTGGTGACACAACTTCATGCCACTCTTATCCCACTTGAGCATAAAGTGCAACCCTTCAGATGGGGCACTAAATGTGTTTGGGGACATGCTTGCTGTCTCTGCAGCCAGCAGAGTATGCCATCCTGCACCGAATGCCCCTGACCCACCGCCTCCTTGTGGAAAAGAACCATTATCCCGGACAGGATGGCCCAGACCTGTCAGTCACCCTTTAGCACCCCACTTTTCTCTTCTTTCTTTCCCTTGTTTCTATTTGATTTTTCTTTTCTCTTCTCTCTTTCTTCTGTTTACCCCTACCCTTGCTGTCATGTTTTTCTTTTTGGTGTTTTTCATTTAGATTTGTTTTTTAATTTTATTCTTTTTTTGGATTTTGTTTTTTTGTTCTTTTTCTAACAACAACAAAAAAAATCCCACCCAAAAGGAGACAGCAATCACATTCATAATACTGAGTTACACCTACCCCTCTTGTCAGCTTGCCAAATGGACAAGTGTCAACACATATCCTGCACCATTCTGTCAAGGACAAACAGAGGCTACCACCAGCCCAATCCACCCTCAACTGCTCTACATGAAAAGTGACCAGAGAACTGTGCCCACATTCCTATGTGAATATCAGTCTCCAAGGCCCTGAGACATGACATCTGGATGGTCTCTGGCTACCAATACTGGCTACTCTGTAAGGCATCACAGTAAAATGCCCTGGATAGTGTGGGAGAAAAATGTGGACTAAAACTGTAGAGCCATAGGGTGCGTTCAAAGTGCCAACCTTTCAGTCAGCAGCACTGCATTACCAGAGCTCCTTGTGTGAGGTACACCCAAGAATAATAGCCCAGATGATGAGAGAAAATGTTACCAACCTTTATTAATCACCAAAATAATATGCACAACAGCTGTAAGACACACAATGTTATCAATATCATCAGAAGTAACACATGTCTTTAGTTCATCTAAGAATGACCTGCAAAAAATTAACAAATAGCTGATGTTAATCAATAATATATACTAAATAGTTGATAGAAAGACAAATATAGCCAAGGTACATCACCATGGCATATTAAATTTTCCCATATTTTTACCCTAAGTGCGCAAATCATGTAATTGACCAAACCAAATTCAGTTGCCAACGAGTTGCTTCCAATTCAGATAGAACAACGTAGAACTACCCCTTTGGGTAATTTCTGAGGCTTTATTACTAACAGGAACAGACAGCCTCATAAGGAAGATATTAAATTCAAACAATGTTGCTAGAAAGAGAACAAGTATGGTGATACTTGTTCTCCATACTTGTTCTCTTTCTAGCAACATTGTTTGAAACCCTGTATACTTTGACATTTCAGTTATCAAAGATGATACATTTACATTTCTTAGTTGAATGTATCTGCTATTAAAGCTCCATAAGTAGAGAGCTGAAAACTATTAAATTTATAATCAGTCATTCCCTCTGTATTTGCCACATACCCAAAACAAAAAACAAAAAAGTTACAATTTCAATCAAGGTGCAACTAATTAGACAAATGAATTAAGAATTGAGAGCTCGCTGAAAATTATACTAGGGTTTAAGCTAGCTGAGTGTTTTGAAGTATATACTTTAAGTAACACTAACAAATGTCAGTATCGCACACTAGCATTTTAAATGTTTCTTTCTGAATGATAGTATGGTAAACATAGTCAGGTGAATATACTTTACAGAAAGTTAAAATTTCACTTTGTGTAAATTTAATGTAAATAAGGACAACAGTATATTCCTTGATAAAATTTGGCGAAATAAAAAAAAAAATTTGGCGAAATAAAACATATTTCTCATAGAATTGAACCTTCAAGACTTTTTTAGAGTGAAAACAATAAAGTAAAGCTGCTAAGAAAGCATAGAACCACAATAAGAGGTGATGATAGTAAAGAAAAAAACTACCTGACCACATTGGAAGTCTTTATTATTATTCCTGTTAAACATCTTGAAAACGGTGGAAGGTCTGCAAGACACTCTGGTAGAGTAAGCTCGTCTATATCCGAAGCCTGAACAAAATAAGTTTCAAATCAATCATTTGCAATTTGAGTCTGGGTCAATTGCTTATTTTATTTTACTTAGGGTATCTTCCAGAAACTTGAAGCTGACGTCTTCTTAAAACCAAACAGTAAGTTAGCTTAATTGGTTAAAAATGTTTGCCTTCAGTAGTACCTCTTTTAACAACTATCCAACTGGGATCAAATTGACAAAAGCCAACTTGCAGTATTAGAAGGGAATCTTAGGGGGCGGTGACTTTATGCTAATGGGGTAGAAGGATGAGGATGCTGTACAACTTCAGGAATGCAACCAACATTACTAAGTGGTACACAGACAAACTACTAAACTGGTGTGTTTTGCTGTATATATTCAATAATCAAATAAATTAAAATGGGAGGGGAAAAAAGTAACACCAACCAAAAGCATAAATGTTTTCAAAGAAACAAAACCAGGAATGCTTCTTAAAGGGATGGCAAAATGTCATCTGGCTTACTTGGGACAGCGCATCAGGAAAGATCAATTGCTAGAAAAAAACACCTTGTTTGACAAAGAGGATAAGTGAAAACAGGGAAATCCTCAATGAGATGGGTTGACAGAGCAGCCATAACAATGGGCTCAAACATATCAAAGACCATGGACATGGTGCAGAAGCAGGTACTCAATGGCAACAGCATGTCATTAAAAACAAACCAAAGAAAAACAAATGGTGGCAGAGACTCACAGATTATTTTCAAGGGTGTTGGTGCTGGTGTGTGCTGTCAAAGAGACCCTGTTATCAGGGCCAGCAGTTATAAAGAGAATGCCACACAGGAGCTAAGACTTGAAAATACTAATTGTGCTGGGTATTTCTCATTCATATCACTGTCCATGATCTTTATCCTTCTGTGATATATTTTGTATCAGTATTCTGATAGTTTATAATTTTCCTTAAATAGTTTTAAAATATCAGCTACAAATTTAATGTTTACCCATGATTCAAAAGAACAAAATTGTTTCCATTCATAAGCTAAACAACAGCTAAGCTTTCACAAATGATTTTAATATTCCCAAGTAAAGTGGAATAATACCTATTCTAAAGATATTTATCTACAGCTTTAAAAATGGATTTAAAAAACTATTTCAGAAAGTTGAAAGTTACTGCCATAAAGTGGAAGAAATTCTAAATTTGCAAAGAAATTCCATTTCTAAAGCTACATATTTAGCATCCTCAACTAATACTAAACTTATTTAGTATTAGTATCCCTGGTACCTGGTACCTGGTATCCCTGGTACCTCAGGGATGTCAATTATAAAAGAACTGATCTTAAAAAAGGTTCTGAAAATTTTTAAGTTATCATGAGGTATTTACTAGTTATATCTATAAAATTTTATTGAAATTCACTACAATAAAGGCAAAAAATAATTGTGAACTTACTATAAACATTTTTTCAAAACATTACCCTTCATGCTCTTCATGAAAATAATTAAGAGCAAATCAACAAATTATTTCAGAATTATACAACCATAAAACTATTATTCTCTCTTGAAAAGCTAATGTACACAGTTTAATTAATGATTCACTATTAAATAACGAAGGGGCGCTGGTGAAGCTATTGCATAAGCATTGGACTGCTGATAGCAAAGTTGGCAGTTCAAATCCACTAGCTGAGCCCTTCTACTCCAGTAAAATGTATAGTCTCTGAAACCCTGAATGTCAATGGTAGTGGTCTGGCTTTGTTTTTTATTTTATTTTATTAAATAATAAAAACATGTAACTTTTCACCTTAACTACAACTAGTACTCAGTTGATGATAAATCCCTAGATTAGCTTTATCACCCTAGATATTTTATATATCTAAATATTTTTTGCTTATTATTTTATAAGTGAGCTTTCAGAAGTACCGGATATTTATGATAATAAATACTATCACTAATTTCTAAATTTTAAGGATTTTGAAATGTAAAATATCCCTAAAGAACATTAAATGAACTGTATATGATGTGATATTATCGAATGACTGTGAGTTTTGTTAGCAGCAATAGTTGAATTTTGGTTTGCAAGAAAATGTCTTTAGTTTTCAGGAAACATGCTGGAGTATTTATGGCTAAAATGCTATGTCTATAATTGCTTAAAAGTACTTGGTGGATAAAACAAACATGACTAAAGGTTAACAACTATTAAGTTTAGCTGACAGATAAATGGCATCCATAATGCCTTGTAAACTGGAAACATTAATAAAAACGTTTAAATTTTTTACTTAAAAAATCAAGTATTAAAGTATGTTAATAATATGAACATTTTTAAATGTAAAATGAGTGTTTAAAATGTTAAACTGGTTATAGCAAAGGGTATTTTTACCTTATTACTCTAGACACCCAAAATAGAGCCAATTATTTTCCTCCCTATATGAAAACATCACTCAATACTTATAAATACATAAACACATTGTCTAAACCAGGAATCAGAAATGTTCACAATGTAAGCACAGATTAGGTTATAATTATAAGAGATGACATCTTTAATATATTTTTCACAATGGTCATAAGACAACAAAATACAAATTAGCTATCAGATTTTGAGGTATAAATCTTAGAAAATAAGAAACCACATCACAAACTATTTCACTCAACTTCAAGTTCTTAGAAAACACTTTGGAAAAAAGTTTCAAAGTCCTTACATATTTTCATAGTCCAAAACGACAACAGACCACACAGTAATCTCACCATCAACATATTTACCTTTCGTAGTTTATGACTTATCTCCACCACCTGTGCAGCAATCAACGTAGAAAGCACTCCCTTGTGAAGAGGCGTATCCATGTGCCAAAACTGAACGGTTGTTATAAACTCATGCAGAGGTGTTTGAACAGAATAAAGTAACTACAACAAAACAGATCATTCCCTTTTAGTGGAGCTAAAAGTCACGGTTAAAACACTCCAACAAAACCAAGAGTAAGAATAACCATTTCAACTTTCTCATCCAGGTTTCAAGGATGTCATGATTTTACTTGCCCGTTTCCCAGTGCCCACTGCTTTCCTTTCTTCTGTACAACTCAAGCTGATAGGAATCCACAAGCAAAATAATAATAATAAAAATAAAATTAAAAAAAAGAAATCCACAAGCACCAGCACAAAAGAGAAATGATATGACTACAGCCTTCTGATAACTATTAGTATAAACATTCTTGCCCCAAAAGCAAAACAAAAAACTGCCCCTCGAGAACCAAAGTATAAAAAGAAAGAAGGAAAACTAAACATGAAAAAACATCAATTACTTTAAAATAAGACATCAACTATAAGGCAATGGATTTTCAGTGAAGTGACATAGCAGGTAGTAAAAGAACAGGTTAAAAAAATTAGAAATGGCCCATGTTATATCACAAATTAATGAACACATAAGTTTATTGCAATCCAACCCTTATCATCACAAATTAATCACCCTTATCAACTTGGCCCCAGTACACATCTCCTAAAACCTTACATAAGCTCTAAAGATAATTATAAAGTCATACTCATATCTACCATGATACAACTAATAAAACTAACACACATACAACTGAAAACACACTAGCCCATTATCTTTCTTAAGTGAAGAAAACAAAAATTAATCAAAACCAAAATCATTTCAAATAGACTCAATGAGATCAAGAAAATATGGCCATCAATCTTCAATGATCGCCATCAGCAAAGAAAATAAAGTTGGAAGTCTTCAATATTTCACAAACACACTTCCTCTCATTTACACATTCTAAGAAATCATTTTTGCAGAATAGCTCATTCATGTTTTAAGAGTTACTTAAACAATAATGGCTATGGTGACAATATGATTTTTGTTCAGAAATATGCATAACACTTTGAAGAATATAAACAAATCTGACAAAAAGGTCAATAGTTGTTTGTGTTTTTTTAACTATTGCATTTTGATTTAATCTAATTGCACACAAATGTGATTACAGTTCCTAATTCTAAGAGGAAGATGATGCATGCCTCCATATTATTCGTTTCTTCACTTTTACATTTTAACCACATGAAATTTTACATCATGATGGATTAATTCAGAATTTCCATGCACCACCTCAAAATTATGCAGAACTAAGGCAATAAAAAATAAACCACTAAAATTCTCATGCTAATTGAGACGTAATGGGCAACTTACTTGGTTACAATGTACTCTAAGTCACGAAATGCCTAGAAATAATGGTGGTTCACTTTATAGTGGACCCTGAATTGGTTTTTACCAAATGGTTAACTACTAAATCATTTGGGTGACAACTAAAAAGCAGGTAAGTTCCTATTACATAATGACACATTTGTATCAGTTTTCAGGTTCCTTTCAAGATTTATAGTCTCAAAACCCCAAAGGGGCAGTTCTACTTGGTCCTATAGGGTCACTATGAGTCAGAACTGACTTGATAGCAGCAGGTTTTGAGTTCAATCAGCAAAGACAATCCACAGGCGCCCTTTCAAGTCTGTGACTATCATTTCCAATTAGGAGAAGATTCGAAGATTAATAGGTGCTTGGAAGGTAACCTATGATGAGAGTTCACATTGCATCTGTGGAAAGTCTCCATAAACTTGAGGCCGTTGTTGTTGCTGTGTTGATTCCAACTCACAGCAACCCTATAAAACAGAGTACAACTACTGTATAGGGCTTCCTAGGCTTGAATCTATACAGCTGTAATCCAGTGAAGCAGGATGTCAGGTCTTTTCTTCTATGGAGCCAATTGTGGGTTAAAATTGCAGATCTTTTGGTTAGCAGTCAAGTATGTTAATCATTGCACCACCAGGATCCCCAAACGGAAGTCTGAGCTCTAAAAACAGACAAAACTAGCACCCTCAAAGCTCTACATTATTTGGAAAAGTCTATAAAATAATAATGTAACACTCATTAGTCCATTAACAGATGTACTTTATCAGTTCTAGTTTGTTACGCTGTACTAGTAAAGACAAGTTCCAAGACTGAAAGAGACATGCAAAGAAGTGAACCTCCATAGTCCTCAGGCCAGATGGGTGCAGTCTGGAACAGCTATTCCTCTTGGCCCTCTGTGACTTTTAATCACAAATACAAATATTATCATTTTTCTACGTGTCCCTTCTTATGGAAAATGTTGTAAAGCACTACCTGAAATGAAAGCATAAGCTATTGCCTCTTATACTCTTAACTATATTTCATAAAATAACCTGACATCATAAGGAAAGCTAACTTAAACTTTATTTAAGTAGACATTACTTCAACACACTTTAGTCCATGGCAGTGACTCATACTTCCATCCAATGAATATTTATCATTTAACTTATTATATTACATAAAAAATGAATACCCGGATGCCTTCCTCTGGTTGTTTCTTGAAGCCCCGTGCAATACATTCCAACATAGTCTGGAATACTTTCTGGACTGTGTCAAACAGAGTTGCAATGTCTTCATTTGAATCTGATTTTTGAATTAAAGATCTTCTTCCAGTTACCTCTTTTAGAATGCCAAGAAGTAATGAAACGTAAAAAAATCCCTTCACTAGAAAGAAAATTGGAAATATCAGTTATCTGGTCATGTAATGAGTTGAAATTATCACGCATTTTTTCACCAACATGAGTGTTTATGGTAGGTTACATATACGAGCGGTTTCAAAAAGCTCATGGAAAATGTATACTAAAAAAAAACTATGTGTGGATTTCAATTTTTTGCACTGAAATAAACTTGTGCTAGCTTGTCATATAACATGGCTGAGCAGAATCCAGTGTGAGGCATTTAGAAAGATATCAGGTTGAAAAACAGTCCTTTATCAGAGTGTTATGGATTCTGCTACAACTCAAAACAAAAACAAACATCAAATTTATAGTAATGCTTGTGTGAAAGAATGGGAAATTCATTGACACTTTATAAAAATTTTATGGGAATAATGCCCCCCAAAAATCAGAAGTTCACAAATGGAGAACTCATTATATAAGGTACAAGATGATGTTGACAACGAATCCTGCACTGATTAGCACACCACCCACACCAGTTTTGAAGGGAAGAACCTTGTTTCCGCCCTAATGGAAAGGGCTGCTCACTGAAAGAAGAAACAATCACCAGCACTGTAGACAGATCAACTGGTTGAGCTTATACATTCTGATGGAAAAATTGAAGTTCAGCAAACTCTGCTCGATGGACACCAAAACAGTTGTGTCCATATGTGCGGACAAGAGCAGGACTTTCAAGGGAAACTTCAACCTGGTGGGTCATGATCCTGAAGCATTTGTTTGAAGAATTTAAACACAACACCCTTGTACCATTATGATCCCACAAGCAAAGCACAATCAAAGCAATCGCCAAGAGGCGGAAATGGTCTAGTCAATGCAGAAGCAGACCCATCAAGGAAAAAGATCACGACAACAGTGTTTGCAATGCTCAAAGCATTTTAATCCTCAACTTTCTGGATGGCCAAAATGGATAACATCTGCTTATTGAGAAAGTAAGCCAGAGCTACAACAGAAAAACGGCCAGTAAAGCTTCACCCCCAAATCCACCACCACGATCATAATTCTGGCTATCCTTCTCATTAAACAAGCACAATTTTGAAGTTTCAATGGAAAATTAAGTGTTCGCCTTACAGTTCTGATTTGGCTCATTTTTTTGTGTCCTGATCTCAAAAAATCTTTAAAGGGTGCCCATTTTTTTTTCAATTAATGTTCATAATGTTTAAAAAGATGGCATTAACACAGTTAAATTCCCAGGATCCTCCGTTCTTAGGGGATGGACTAAATGGCTGATACTATCGTTTACAAAAGTACCTAGACCTTGAAAGATCTTATGTTGAGAAATAAAGTTTATAGATTAAAAAATATATTTTATTTCCATTTTGCCATGAACCTTTTGAAGACCATTCATATAAATGATAAGCAGGTACCAAAGAGCTAGGTTGATCAGATTCATTTAAATAGTATAAAATAAATAAAACTTTTGTTCCCCTTATATACAGGTTGAATACCTTCCAATAATAGTAATTGTGCATTTGATTGAGTCACTAAACTAAGAACATAGGAGTACACAGCAATTTGGAAGTGCGATTTCCTGGAATGTCTGAATTTAAAGAACATTTCTTATTATCTGATAAGAGTATCTAGGTGACAAGTCAGTGTGGATCATAATCAAGAACTTACATAAGAAATAGAGATAGTAGTTGAAATACTTTGGTTTATAAGATAAGTTACTAATTACAATAAGCTCTGTTTGAAACAAAAATATGAAACTAACACTAGCCCCCCAAAATGGGGGGCACTGGCAAAATCCTTATGCTCCAGTTTATTCCTAAAAGCACATGGTTTCACAAAACTTTATGAAATGACTAAAAACGGAAGTTTCAAAGAAAATTACTCTTAAAAGAAGACAAAAAGATCTAAATTCTTCAGATATATGTTATCTGGAAAAAAAAAAATGCCTAAAAAGTGGAATAGGAGATAACAGAATGCTGATCCATTTAAAAAGAAAATGCTAACAAATCAGAGAAGATGGTCCACTTAAGAGTAAAGGATCTATCCACACAAGATAGTCTGTGCAGATATCTCTTCAAGCTGGGCTGAGTGGGGAAGGAGGCACAGGGAAAGGTGCTGATGTGGGAGAACCAATAAATAACAGATACGCTTACTGACAAAAATCCCTAAAGTTAAAACATTTTAATTGTGCCTTATTAAGCAATACATACAGATACTAGTTAAAAAACTACAATGAATTAATTTTTGTAAATGTCAAAATTCACAACATATTACAGAAGATGATTTTGAAAGCTTCCCAAATGTTATCGATTGGATAGAACACTTGCTTCTTTAAAGTAAATTAGTTTATAAGCAAAGTGTATATGGGGGGACGAGGGGGAGTATCAATATAATTCAGAGTAGCACTGTTTTAATATAAAAATCCTATATTTATTAGATGTGTAACATTTTTTTAAATGGTACTGGTACTTTTAAAGATTGTTATTTTATTAATGTTCTGTCATACTGCACAGTTTTAATAGTCCGTACCAAATCTCTTTCCAGAATTTGTTGGTTTTAGTGTCTGTTATTGTACAATGCATGGTTTCTTTCGAAAAACACTTTTTGTAACACCTGCATTTTTGTGAGTTTGGATTTTTGCAGTTGGGTTACACACAAGATTTCTCTAGTACTCACTTTCTCAGACAGGGTACCAGATTTGAAACTAGCTGCATTGGAAATCTAAATTCTAATTAGCTCCTCATAAAAGTAAATTTTATTAATACTAAAACCAGATTTAGCTCTTAGGAGAAGACAATCCCTAAAGACTAACCTAATTAATTAAAAAGGAATCATTGTTAATGTTTTGTTCATTAGGGTCTAAAATGCCATTTCACAACAGAAAATGAGTTACAAAAAAAGGCTCAACTTTAAAATAATGTTTAAACTTAAATTGGATGCCTTAAACACTGTATAATCTAGTTTATAATTAAAGATTCAGATGTTCGGACACTAACTAGAGAAGAGGGACCAACACCCTACCTCCAACTTCAGGAGCTGAACCATAAGACGACTAAGGGTGTTTGGGTGCAAAAACACTCTATAATCTACCAGGTCCTGTTGGCCAAGTGGGCTAAGCATTACATTGTTAACCGACAGGACAGCAGTAAAAACCTACTAGCCCCTCCACAGGAGAAAGATGAGGTGTCTGCTCCCATAAAGATTTATAGCCTTGGAAACATGATGGAGAGAGAAATTCTACTCTGTCCTAAGAGAGGGTCGTGATAAGTTGAATGGCAGTTACTGTTAGTCTACTATGAACCCAATGAACCTGATTTTCCAAACATAATGCTGAATTTACTAAGTGATTCTATCAAATCATTTCTCTTTTAGCAAATATCTAGGCTGAAAGAAATTTAAATAGCCGTTTTTCAAGTTTCTATAGCCCTCAGAAAGAATCAAATGTAGAACAGAGATAGGTAATAAGAATAATTTCAAAATAGCTCTATATAAATAATGCAATCTACTTGATGGGGGCTTTTCTCTTCCTGAAAAGATTCGCAGTCTCTGAAACCCACTGGGGCAGTTCTACTCTGCTCGACAGGGTTGCTGTGAGTCAGAATCGACTCAATGACAGTGCATTTGGTTGGTTGGAATCATACCCAGAGGCAGCGGGACCTGGGATGAGAAGGTTACAAGCCAGCAATATTCTTCTTTGCCAGAATCTGTTCTCGGTAGGGCAAAAGAGTCATGGAAATGTCCCCTAGGCTGAAGATACTCCCTGGTTTCACATCTCCCTTCCCTGCACACTCCACTTTGTCATCCACTTGATAAGGGTGTTTCAGGAACCTGGCCCACAGGATCCATTAATATAAATCTCAGAATAATCAAAATATGGTTTAGGTGTTGACTTCCTCACAACTCCACCAAGACACCTGAACAAGGCTGACTTTTCACTCATTCCTGGAACAAAATTTTTAATCTTGGTAGCAACATTAAACAATATTATTGGTCCTCTTCAACTGCTTAACACAGCTGATGAAACTGGCCCCGTTTTACAACATAAAGAATTCCATTTAAATAAGGCATAACTATAAACACCACTTGTCCTAAACAGGTATTTGAAGTATTTTAAGTAAAACTTGTGGAACAGAAGTTGCTATGGAGAACATTCGGTTTGATCTGCCAACAACCCTTTCCTGGGGACAACGACAGTTCTGCATGTGGTGCTACCGGGGCATCAAGCTACTCCCCACAGGAGCCCCCGGTCTAGCAGATGCAGGGAGAATACGCCCATGAGAGGTGCTCTCTGAATGACAAGAGTGACATGTTTTCTCTCCTTCTTGAATATGGAAATAGGTTCAAGACTTCTAAGGGGCATTTCACCCACTATTGTCTAATAGTAAAACCACCCAAAGAGAAATAGCATGCCAAGGACCTCATTAGAAATTCTGAGTGAGTCATGCCTGATGCCAGAAACATCTTTGAGCTTCCTGATTGCATCAGTCAATAAATTCCTTTCTTGGCATAAGCCTATGACTTACCCATTTACCTATCTTTCATTTGAGGGAATCCTGAGCAGCGAAGTAAATACAGGAGGAGGGAAGAAGAGAAGGGAGAACAGTGCAAGTAAGGCAGGAAGGGAAAAAGGGCCTTCCCTTTAATACTGATCCGTAACACTCACTCACTCACTGCCATCAAGACAGTTCCAGCCCACAGGGACCCTATAGGACAGGCAAGGGCTGCCCCTGTTTCACAGAATGTATCTCTTTATGGGAGTAGAAAGCCCATCTTTCATCCTAGGAGCAACGGGTGGTTTCTAACTACCGACCTTGCGAATAGCAGCCCAATGTGTAACGACTCTGCCACCAGGACTCTTGATCTTTAACATTCACGGCTCTAAAATAGTTCTCTAGTGAAAGAAACATACCTGTTTCCATGATTTTAAGACTTTGCTGTAAAAGATGCAACTGAAACTTATAATCACCCAGTCCAACCATCACAATATCTTTACATACTGTCAGATAGGTCTGCAAAAGAAAGAGATGTAGCAAGGTGATATATTAACAAAGGCGGTTTTTTTTTTTGAGGGCAATAAATCCAACCTGGTAATGCTCCTAATATTTCATATATGAATTATCTAATAAAACTGATATTTACCAAAAAATTTCCAGAGTACATTAATTTTTGTAAGAAATCTAGAAACGCATGCAATTCCACAAACACTATAAACACTTATCACCCACAATATATAAAACTATGTTAAAAAAGGTTTCTGCATATGAAGAGTCCAACCTGGATGATTTGCTGATAAATGACTCTATGAAGCTTCAAATAGTCTTCTTCTTGATCTTGGATAAAAGTTAAAATTTTGCTTTCTAACCAAAATCCAGTGTCTTCCAAAATGGATAGATACACTTTTTCTTCTGAGCAAAACTGTCCAATGACAACAAGAAATGATAAATAACAATGAAGACAACTTTAGCAATACTCTTCTTATTCTAATACAGAAACAGAAAATGAGATTCACCTTCTTATTCTAATATAGAAACAGAAAATAAGACTCACCTTGTGATGAAGATGAATACTTAATCGACAGTAGAGACTGAAGGCTTGCAGGGCTGTTGTTTGATTGAAGTTACGAGGTTTTTTACCGGATGACAGCAAAATGGATTCTAGGTCGGTCTGTAAGATTAAAAAATGTAAAGGCCTGTCATGGATTGAATGGTGGCCCCCAAAACATGTCTCAACTTGGCTGGCTCATGGTTCTCAGTTGTTTGGCAGGTATGGGATGATAAGGTTTGGTGTGACCAGACAATTAGAGATTTGGGATGGGAAGCTGCATCCTTCCTTAGGTCACAGCCCTGACCAGAGGTAAGATCAGTTTCCCTGGGGTACAGTCTGTATTACTTGTTATCTTAAGGGAGATAAAAGAAGAGAGAAGCAACCTGACAGAAAGGGACCGACTATGACCAAGGAAAGAAGCACTGGAAATCTCCTAGGACCAGCATTCTGAATTTGGACTTGAGCCTTCGAAATGATAAATATTCATTTGTTTGGTAAAACCACCCACTTCTGGTATTTCAGTTATTGCAGCACTAGATAACCATGACACGGTCATATTCTGATTAATAAATCACTACAACATTCTAGCATGGCAAGTATAATCCAAAGCATCTGAATCGGCAATTGCAATTATCAAAAAGATAAGGGCAACTGAGGTAAATTTAGTAAGAGGTAAATTTTTTTTGAAAAATTTAAAGTATCTTCCCTTACTCACCTACCATACATATCCTTTTTTTAAAGAGACTTATTTTTTAAAGAGTATTTTTATAACAAATAAAAGCACATTTAAGAGTTATTGCTTAAGGCTGAACCAATAATAACACTTAATATCAAATAAGGATGCCATCAGGTCATATATTTAAAAGATTTTGCTCCACAGAAAATTTTATGTAAAGTTCCTAGGGAAAGGTGCTAGGACCTAAAAACTCAAGACTTAGCAAGAAAATAAAAAATAAAAAAGGCTCTTCAACCAAGAAGTGAAATAAACAGAACACTCTTCTGCACCAGCCCTCAGACATTCGGGCCTGCTACCTTCTCCCTAATCACACACCCTACAGCAGGAATGACACTGCCGGGTTTGAATGTGTGGAGTGGGGCTTCTGTCATTGCTGTTTGACAGCTATAGTAGAGGATAGAGGAACCTTTAGCATATGTAATGAGTGGTCTTATTCACTGTGGAAACCTTGGTGGCACAGTGGTTAAGTAGTTGGCTAATAATCAAAAGGTCGGTCATTCAAACCCACCAGCTGCTCCCAAGGAAAAAGCTGTGGCTCTCTGCTTCCATAAAGCTAACAGCCTTGGAAATGACATGGGGCAGTTCTACCCTGCCCTTTATAGTTGTTATGGGTCTCTGGTGGGATATGACAGCCCATCAGACAAGCCTGCCAATGCATATGCCCACCCATTTATCTTTCATTGGAGAAACAGACACACAACAAAGTCAGGTGCCCAGTTTAGTCACCTCTGTTACCCAAAATCCTATCTCTGGTGAGCACAAATTTCTGCCTGCTCATTGTCTGAGCATGAGTCCCTGAGAGTGCACAATCACGATAACCATGATCACTTCAAGTTCAAGACACAATCAAGTAAAAAGGACACTTTCCTGGCAATCTTCCAATCCCCCGGGCTATTCCTCTCCTAGATGACCATTTTCAATCTTCCTCCTTCCCCTGCCCCTATCTACCTCAAGACAAGACTCTGATGCACAACCAAACTGTGAACAGCAGTGATCAGAGGTCATTGCCGCGTGGCTGGTTCCTGGAGGTGAGGGAACAAAGCAAAAATCGGGGAAGAAGGGAAAAGGTGAATTCTACCTGGTAGTAGAGAGCACTGGGTTTGTGAGTTCATGACAACCACTCTAGATTCCTAGAAAAAGCTGCCAAAGACTCTGCAGGGAAGCTAGTATTTCCATCTTAATAGGTAAAAAGAGAGAAAGAAAGCTTCTGTCTAACAACTAACATTACTGCCAATGATGTGTTCTGAGAAACATGAATTATACACTTGAGTCCTATTTCCCAAATTAGATTGGATAAACAAACAAAACACTGTTTATTAGAAAGGCTGGAGTCAAACGTTTTAAAGCTAGTCCCTACCTTCCCACTATCAGTTAAGTCATCTGTGTCTGGGTGTTCTTGTCTACAAATATAAGTAGGTATATTAGAAAACTCTCAATCTCCTTCTGGTTCTAAAAATTATAGTCGTATAAATATATAAAATTTAAATCTTACTTATTCCTCCTATGATCTTAAGAATAATTCAGTTTTCAGGGGGCCCATATGTGTTCTATAAAGTTACCTTTGATGTGTCAAGTGCTTTCAAAAGATGGTTAAGTTTCTTTTGGGGAGCAGATAGCAGGCACTCACGATTCTTTGAATGAGTCAACAAATATTCTATGTATATCAAGGCTAATTCAGGCTTTATTGGGTGTGTATCATGAATTTGTACTTTACATTTTGATGCTGAATTTCTCTGAAAGAGAAAAGCAGGATAAGCAGATCACTAAAACACTTCCTAGAAAAACGCAGAACAGGATTTCTCTTTCGTATGGAATCGAGGCTTTCGGGAGTCATGGAGGGTGGAGGGACTCCCATAACAATAATCTTATGTTAAGCCCAAATTATCCCCTAAAAGCATCTTTACATTAAAGTTAGTTCAGCTTTTCTAGTAAGGAATTTTCTGCCTGAAACACAATGCCATTTTAAGAACTATCTAAATGGGATCAAATCGACAACAGCAACTCGAAAGATTAGAAAGGAAACTAGGAACCGTGAGTTTGTGTTAGTTTGACAAGGAGGGTGAGAAGAGTTACAAAACTTGAAGAATGTAACCAATGTCACTGAATTGGGCATGTAGAAATTATTGAATTGGTATGTTTTGCTAAGTATACTTTCAACAAAAAAAAAAACTTCTGGAGTTAGACAAAAAACAAAAAACCCCACCATGTTCCTAGAAAATCAATTGATTTGTGATACAGAGCTATCCTCATTCATCAAGTTCTTAAGGAAACATTACCTTGCTTTGGGGCTGTTCCTCTGGCAACCAATCGTAGAGTAGCTCCAGAATATGCCCCACTTGTCCCCAGGAGCAAAGACAATCTAACAAAGTACAATAGTTCTTATCCATGGCTCCTTCTTCCTGATTTCTTAATGTGGAAATAACACCACAGCTAAAAAGTTCAATATATAAAATCAATTTTAATATTTCAAAAGCAATTTTCCATTTTTCTAAGATGAGAAAAATCAAGATACTAAAACCTTCTCGAGGAGAAAGCAATGTGACCAGTCTCCAGGAGAGACTAGTTGGAGAAGGGAGCAGTGAGCAAACAAAGTCACAGACAGGGAACAATAGGAAATTAAAATCAACAAGGACATAGAGATCCTGGGGGTGTTGGAGCAATAGCAACCTAGCTGAGAGGAATTACTACAAGGTGGAAGTAGGGAGAGCACGGTGGTGGGGCAGGAGGAAGGTGAAAGGAAATAGAGGAACGCTCTAGTAAATAAAGATATGGATAGAGGTATAAGCATAGGCGTGTGCATATGTTAGTTAATACACCAATTCACAATAGATGTATTGATCCATGCATATATATCTATGTGGCAATACACTGAAGTTGTGGATGGACTTTGGGCCTCTGCTCATGCCCTCACTCAATGCAAGAACACTTTGTTCTAGCAACCTGGCATTCTGTGATGCTCACTCTCCCGGCACAATCACTGAAGAGAAAATTGGGTGCATAAGCAAATGTGGTGAAGAAAGCTGACGGTGCCCGGCTATCCAAAGATATAGCATCTGGGCTTTTAAAGGCTTGAAGTTAAAGTGGCCATCTAGCAGAGAAGCAACAAGCCTATATGGAAGAAGCACACCAGCCTGTTGAAACTGTTGGGGAAGGGAGACAGCAGTCGGTGTAAGATATGAAAATAATAATAATTTATAATTTATCAAGGGGCCACAAGGGTAGGGGGGAGAATTTGACATCAAGGGCTCAATAGAAAATAAATGTCTAGAAAATAACGATGGCAACATTTGCACAAATGTGCTTGATACAATTGATGTAAGGATTGTTAAAGAGCTGTAAGAGCCCTCAATAAAATGCTTTAAAAAAAAAAGCTAAAATTGTAAAACATACCCTTTGTCATTATATTAACATTTGTACATTTTCTAGTATAGGGATAATTTTATGATTTTTTCATAATTAGTACAGAGTATGTACTAATGTAAAATATTCCATTTTAAAGTAGCTTTGGGGAAAAGAAAAACTGTTAGGTGCCATCCAGTCAACTCCACCGCCCCATCCCACACCATCCTCACAATCATTTTTATGTTTGAAAAAAATAGTCTATATAAATTCCTTTTGTAGTCTGCTTTCTTGCTTTCTCTGAAATGCTTAACAGGCCTTAGAGCAAGAATTCCTAATTATTATGGAATAATTTTTGTTACCGCCAAAACAATTTTTAATAAGTAATACTTTTATAAATACTTTTTACCAAAATGCTAACCAACACACTAGAGCAATGCTATCCAATAAAAATATAACAGAAGTTAGGTGAGACACATGTATTTTAAATTTTCTAATAGCCACATTTAAAAATGTAAAAAAAAAATCCGGTAAAATTCATTTTAGTAATAGCTTATTTAAAACAATGTATCCCAAATATTATATAATATGCAATCAATATTTTTAAAATGGTGATACCTTGTATTCTTTCTGTACCAAGTCTCTGAATCTCTATGCAGTTCCCACTGAGAACACATCTCTAGTCAGAGCAGGCATACTTCAACTGCCTGTTGGGCACCTGTGCTTAGCTGCTGCTGGACTGGACAGAGTAACTCTAGGGTATCTGAAGGCCAGACTTAATAAAACTTCCCTGGACTTTAAAATGGAACAGCAATTTTAAGTTCCAACCATTTCTTCTTTTACTACTATGTAACTTCAGAGCTCAGTAAGCACTTGCAACCCGAGGTTCTCCCAGTGACAGGGAGAAGGAAAGCAGCTGTAGTGACATGAAATGTCTTAATATGCTTCTGTTCCTGACTCTCTGACCCCCTTCAGGCAATGGGATCAGACGGGCGCAAATACTGGCAGGAGAGATTGATCAGTTGTAGTTGCCATTCCCCTGGCTATAAAAATGAGCCATCTCAGGAGAGAAATCTCAGGACCATCAAAGAAGACGAGCCTCTGGCGGAGCACGTTTGAGATCCCTCCTTGCCTAAAGGGGAAGAAACAGTAGTGGCTGTGCCACAGAGACTGAGTCAGAGACCATGAGACAGAATAGAGAAACAGCGTCCAGACTATGGGACTGTGTGGCGGCAGAAAGGTACAATCACAGGCCAAGGGGTCCCATTGCTGAAAGGCTAAGAACAGGAGAAAGACTTGGCTGCGAGCTGAGGAGAGGTGTTACTGTAGATCACGGACTGTACCCTTACTGTTTTGTGATCCTGGTTTGTGGTAACCTGTTAACATCCCTAATAAGCCCCCCACATCATAAGTATTATCTGTGAGTTTGGTGTGACTACTGCCCTGGACTATAGGCAACTATAAAGGTTGGTGTCAGAATAGGGTAAAAGAAGGATGGAAGGAGAAGGCAAGTCTGACCTCTTCCATGTGGCAATTGGCTTTTACTATAGAGATGGATTCTCTTCCTTCCCTTGTACAGCCAGAGGTCAGATATAGACTGTGCTTGTTTCAGCAACTAATTACTTAAAGTTAAAATTTGACATTGAATGCTGAAGATAGTCTGCTGAAATTTAAAGAACAATTAAGCACAACAAAAAGTAAACTTTACACTTTATCATTTTAGTGAAAAATATAGATAATACCTGAAGGGAGGGACAGCAGAAGGTGGCATGAAGGACAATAGTATAATTAAAGGAGTCTTACAGCGATCATCCTAAAAGCAGTAAAAGGGGGGTGGGGGGAGAGAAGGATTTTTAAATACTATGAACTTTTGAAAGCTTTTCCATATAACTTCCATTTGTAATGTTTTCCAGTAAAAGAAACCAAACTGCAGAACCACCACACACACTGCTGTCAATTCCTTCTCAGAGCAATCTTACAGCACAGAGTAGAACTGTCCCTGTGGGTTTCTGAGACTGCATATCTTTACGAGAGTAGAAAGCCCCATCTTTCTCCCATGGATAAGTTGGTGGGTTCAAACAGTTAACTTGGAGGTTAGCAACTCTTTTACTGTTTGAAGGAAAATTTTAGACCTATTGGTAAAATTGGTAAACCTATTGGTAAACACATTTTTGTAGAGTAGGGAAATTACTTGATGAGTATTCTTCAAGTTATACATAACATTTTATAACCTGTGTGCTATATGCTTTCAATGCAAATATTTATTACTTACCTTCTGTACCAATTGTCAATCTAAAACCATGCAAGCTATCATAAGCAAAATAGAAAATACCTTTTGCTGTTGGAGCGGATTTCCATTTTTAAAACAATTCCAGAATAAGAAAAGAGTTTTATACACTTATTATCTTGAACTTCAATTTTCAAGAGAATGAAACTAATTCAAAGAAAATTTTGTGAAGCTAATCAGAGTATCTTTAGAAAGATAGTGTGATTTAATGGAAAACACAAAGGCTTTAGAGCTGCCTAGGCAAGGCTGAATCTATCAGATTATACAAACTAATTAGCTGATCCAACATGCAGAAAACTAAATCTCAGGTTCCTTATCTGAAAAATGGGCATTGTTGGCAGAATGAAATGCCACAATACACATAAAATCCTAGTGGAGTATTGAACACATCTATTCCTCACTTACCATCTCTCTGTAAGCCAAGCATTTTAGATTGAAGACAACAGTATAGAATCTACTATCCAATTACTTTGTACATTAATAGCACAAGTCTGGTTGTTGTTGTTGTTACTGTTAGGTTCCGTCTAGTCAGTCTGACTCTCAGTGACCCTATGTACAACAGAAGGAAACACTGCCTGGCCCTGTGCCATCCTCACAACGATGGTTATGTTTAGGTCCATTGTAGCAGCCACTGTGCCTTGTAGGAACAAGCAATGAGGAGCACAGCGAGAGCCCTGCTGCTAGCTGTGGTGGTTAGGGCTATGTCACAGAGCCATGACTCACTCAGTAGTTGTTCAATTATAAAGTGATCTACCTTAGCAGTTACTGTACATAAGGCAGTAATCATCCTCCACTATGTGATCTGGCATGGTCATCCTCTATTTTTCTATAACATCAGTTTTGAATAATGACCTAAATTTTGAAACCTAACCATGTTGTTAAGTGAGGAGTAGGTGTATATGGTTAAATATCTAGTAAATTTCAGTTCTTATTACTATTACAAGAATAATTAATAGCTCAGACCCAATTAAGGAAAAAGAAATAATTTCCTGAAAATATACACAAATTCGAAATCAAATTAAGATCTCATCTATAATCAATGTGCCTTTACAATACTGAATTAACACTTACTCCTCCCAGTAAATATTTTCCCAGTGCTTTAACTGATGATTATTGCTGATTCCAGTTTATATGTGGTTTGTTATTTAAAGACATACACAATATCCACAGTATTCCGAGATTGGAGCATAGAGTGACTTTTACCAGAATCATTCAGAATTATTGTCTTATGTTCCTAGGAAACCCAGGTTATGCCCACATATTATTTTATCTAGTGCCTTGTGAATTTATTTTCTGAAATTTTGGAGATGCTGGTTTTCTCAACCCAAAATAATTGAGTTTTTAAATTCACTAGTATATTTAGCAGCTGTGACAGTTACATAATCTACTGTCAACTTGAAAAGGGGTAGAGTCTAGCCTGCCAACCAGGTCGCAGCTTGATAACCTCAGATGGAGGCACAAGAGAGGCCAGACACCCGCTCTCTGATACACATTCCTGTTGACAAGCCTCATGGAGCTTGCTGATGGAGACAGAGCCCTGGAGCTGGAGGAACCACATGGAGACCCCTGCCAGCACTGAGATTATTCCACCGCCACTGGCTCCACAAGACTTTCCATCCACTGGCCTGTGTCTTACTTCATCTGGCATCAGTGCATGTGTTGCATGAGTCTGAAGAGGAACTTAATAATTGGTATGGGATATATGAGATAATATTGGACTTATGGACTTGATCTGGACTGGGCTGGGATGTTTACTTAATATACAATTACTCTTTGATATAAAGTTCTCTCTTACACACGAGTGTCTCTGGATTTGTTTCTCTAGGTAACCCGGGTCCTATGCCATCTTCACTATATTTTGCTGTGTATAAGCCCACTGCTGCAGCCACTATGCCAGTCCACCTGATCTTCCTCCTTCACACTGACCTTCTAATTTATCAAACATGATGTTATTTTCCAGGAACCGGTCACTTATGGTAATGTTTCCAAAGCACATGAGACTAAGTCTCATCAACATCATTTCTAAGGAACACTCTTGGCTGTACTTCGTCCGAGACAGATTTAATTCTTCTGGTAGTCTATGGATGTACTGTCTTTGCAGGCACCATTAACTCAGGGTATCTATTCTTTGGTCTTCCTTATTCGTTGTATATCTTTCACATGCACATGAAGCAACTGAAAATACCATGGCTTGAGTCAGTTGTACATCTTTGTTTTTAATACTTTAAAGAGGTCTTTTGCAATCAATTTGCCCAATGCAATACATCATTTGATTTCTTGACTGCTGCCTCCAGGGAACTTGAAGGTAGATACAAGATGATGAAACACTTGACAACTTTAATCTTTTCTCTGTTTATCATAATGTTGCTTACTATATGAGGATTTTAGCTTTAAGTGCTTCAATGCCTCCTGGCTTTCAGCAAGCAGGTTTATGTCATGCACAGACAGCAGGCCTTCTTCTTCATACAGCCCAGCTTCTCAAATGACTCGCTCACCATCAGTTTAAATAATGAACAAGAAAAGATACAATTCTGATATTGTTTATACTAGACATTTCTCTGGAGGCTGAGAAGATAAAGCAGATAGACACAAGGCCTCTACCCTCTAGGAGGTTGTGAGAGATTAATTACACTACAAGATGAGTGCTAGTTAAGTCTTCCCATGAGAAAACATTTTGCTGAATTCTAACCAAATGAAATCCTAATATGCCTTGTTTACATCTTCCAAGTGTAGTTAAATGCTTACCGTGAATGCTTTAAGATACTGTGGAAGCGCAGCGGCAAACTTGTCAATGGTGTAAACTTTAGCATCTTTGTTATTTTCCATACTTCTAGTAATGCTTTTCCAGAGAATTACAACGATTTCCAATAAACCTGCCATGGATGCAGCATCATTTACTGATAGTGTTTGGTCCAGAACCTGAGATGCAAAGAATTTTATTGAAAAGAATTAAAGTGCAACAATGATTAAAAGATATTAACAATATCATTAATAGTACATTTCAGAATTATATATCTAGAATAGTAACTCAAGGAACACCAAGTCTATTTTATGTTACCATATTGCTTTCTTCTCTAGTTAACAATCTCTACTAGAAGTAAATATGTTTTTTAAAGCCTATTTAAGAAGCAAATCTTAAAATAACGCTACATCCTTTAAGGAAACATTTTATATGAAATTAAAATCCTCTAAAAATAAAAATGTTTTGTCTTCATCTATTTTACAATGAAAGGCACAGCATTTTCTTTTACTATATATTGATTGATTTGTTAAAATAAATGTTTTTCACCACAAAACTGAGTGTAAACAGAATAATGAAATCTAATTTACTTAAATGTGATTGCTAATATAGAAACAAGCACTCAGCCTATGAGATCACATAACATTATACACCTTTCTAGCCAATTATCCTCATTCTAGAGGTTCTGCTATTAATGACTGACTATGATCAACTACAACTCAATCGTGGCCTTCGTTAACTTGTTTTTAAATAAATATGCCTAACCCAACGAGGCTTAGGGAGCTATGCTACTTACACTGGCATTCTCCTTTTCCCGTTCTTCTTCATCTTCTTGATCCTCTCTCAGAGCTTTGTGGATGCAGGCATTTAAGCAACGACGAATAACATGAATCAGCTTTGCTGTAATTTTTTAAACAATCAATAATTAATTATATGTTTTATCAACAAGATTATGTTTTAAAAATAGTTTTATTGGCAGGTAGTTCACATATCATACAATTTAATCATTCAATCATAGTAAGAATTGTGCAATCGTTACATCAATTTCAGATCATTTTCTTTCCGTAATCATTGTTAGCTCCCCGTTTTTCCCCAGGCTACTCTGCAGTGTCAGTGAGTAATTAGTAGTCTAATTACTATCTCTATAGATTTACCGACCCTGGTTTTCATACATAAAAATCATTAAAAACACAAATAGGAAGCAAACAACCAAAAAACCCTAATACCAAAGCCAAAACAAAACAGAGAAAAACATCAGTCAAAAATAAAACAGAATAAATAAATAAAGCAGAAAATACTAAAAACTGAAACAATTTTAAAATAGATCAAAAGGAAGATCAAATGATAAGATATATTTTTGGATTTTCTTTTTAGTAATAAAAGTATAACCCCCCAAATAATTAAATGTATTAGTTTAAGGGATAAGATTAAGAAATGCCATAAAGCATGAACCTTATTTAAATGACAAAATGTCAACACATGTATCATTATGACGATTCAGGAAGGAAATAGTACCCAAACTGAACAAAAAGTGGGGTTTCATACCTATGTTTGTGCAGGCAGTGTGTTCGTAGGCATACTGGTAGAACCTCCTGGCCGCGGCGTGGTTCATCTGGATCAGCGCGACACAGCGCTCACACCACACTTCCTCTGGCTGATTCACAGGCAGGAAAGAATTGAAGATGAGGTTCACCAGGCGCCGGACCACTGGCCGAGAATCACTTTCCAGGCGAACCAAAATATGTTTCATAGGGCATATTTTCCAAAACTATGTATAATGCATATGTATAGAAAGAAACCATTGTAAATATGATCTTTAAAACAGTTGGAGCAAAATTCTAAGATCATTACCAAAAAGAAAAATAATTTTAATATACAAGGGCCAATTCAAATTACTATACTAGAATTTGTGAACTTCCCATAGAGAGACTGAAATTCATAAACTACCTGTATATAAATACCTAACTATAAGGTTGCTGGTGGGATCAATTAGAATAACTAAACACCATGTTTGATACATAGTAAACTCTTAAACAACATCATTAGCTTTTGACTCATGTTTATGAAGAGAGTTTAAAAAAACTTTAAGCACTTTGATACATAAACGTAAAGTGTAAAATATCTACAGTGTCACTCTTAGAGGCACAAAGATGTCACTCTTGACAGGCACTTGTGAATAAAATGTATAAAACATTTTTATACATTCATGCTACATTCACCTGTCTCTTGCATTGCTCCTTTCCCTCTCCCATCAATGCCATGCCATCAGGCATCCTGCATCTCCTGCTTCCTGAAGAGATGAGCACACCACCTTGTCTCTCTGCCTATGGTGCCCACCGCTAGACCACTCCACACATCACGCACAAAGAACCTACACAGAGGAAATATATTCCAGTTTTCAGAAGCACTGGTAGTCACCTACAGAACTGGGGCCAACGCTTTTGAGTGAGAAATTAAAGACAAGGGGAAAATATTAAAGAATAAGAGACGGAAAATAGATTTTAAGGGGAGCATACCTAAATCCTGCTTCAACTGGCAATCATGTGAAATATACTTGAACCAGTTTCTTCATGTGTAAAATGAAGATAAAATCACTTGCTTCATATTTTCAAGACACTTGCTCTGCTGTCTATCCCTCTTTTAGTACTTTCAATTGGGTCCTTCCCAGTTGAATGTGTTCATGTCACTTCAATCTTAAAAATTAAAAAGACCCACACAAAACTCTACTTGACCTTTAAGATTTTCTTCTAGCCTTCACCTTTCGCTTCCCTTTCTTAGACAAGTTACTCAAAAGTATTGTTATACTCGCAACTTCAACTGCCTTATTTAACATTTAAATCTCAATCCACATAATCAAATCAATTTCCACTCTCAAGGAAGTGATTCTTGTCAAGGTCATTGATAATACAAAGTCAAGTGGACATACGCCATCCTCAACCCTGGAGCGGAAAACATTATCGATGACTTCCTCCTTAAAAGATTTTTGGGACAGTTCTACACAAGACAATTCTTGTCACTCCTAAAAAAGTTATCAAGATAAAGACAACAACTCCAAGTCCCACAACTGAAATGTCTACATAGGCAAGAGACACAATATCGCCTAGTGCTGGAAGCAGCAAGCAACTAAAAGGAAGTTCTGACCTTGGTGTCCAACTCTTGTTATCAGCATGAGAGCCAACAGCACCAAGGAAGAAAACCTGCTCACAACTAATAAACTAAAATTGACTCGATGAGACTTGGAAATAAATGACTGAAGATCAAGAGTTAAAGGTGGTGCTTACAGGTGAAAAGGTAACAACAATGCTTGTATTCATATTCTGACAATTTTAACCACTTCTCCTTTATGCAATTTATACGCTAGGTCCCTTTCCATCATAGCAATGGGTAAAAATGCTTGGACTCACACAGAAGTGAGTCCAGATGGGATTATTATTTTTGAGTGCAAAAATATCAAGTTATAACCCGAACAAATCATACTAGCACACCTATAACTCACTGCCATCGAGTAGATGCAAAATTATAGCAACCCTATAGGACATGGTAGAACTGTCCCTGTGAGTTTCTAAGACTATATCTCTTTATGGGAGTAGAAAGTCCCATCTTTTCCTGTGTTGCAGCTGGCGATTTCAAACTGCTGACCTTGAAGATTGCAGGCCATGATGTGTAATCACAACACCACCAGCAGACACATACATTATGATAATGCTAGCAACAAATATTTTCCTGAAACATTCAGGTATGCCAAGCATGAGCTAAGGAGTCTGGCTTGGTTTTTCTTTTAAATTACACACACACACACACACCCACACACACAATTGTTATCCCCAATTTACAAATAAGAATTTACAGCTTCCCATCCAAGCAGACAATGATTACTGCTAATAAATAAACTTTAAAAAAAATCGATTTTTCTATGTGGCCTTTCAACATCATAAAATGAAGATTCGGGACAGGTAGGTTATGCAGGAAGTAGAGATCCAAGTAGACACCATGAAGGGAAGGCGTTGACATCTCTGTGGAGAGAGCTGTCAGTGAAACCTCCGCTGGGTAAGAGTAGTATTCAGTAACAGAATCAGTCCTTGTTCACAGTGCTCAGTCAATAATAACTTGGGGTGAGATCATTTTGATCAAAGATTCTACAGAAGAATCTAGACTAAAAAGTAGGAGGGGGCAGAGAATGCATGGCAGAATCTCAAATTCTTAGGGAAAGCCAGCCTTTCTATGGAAGCCATTGACACTAAATGAAGACCCAAATTTACTGTCCTGAGATAGTCTTAAACCTTAAAATGAAGTGACTCTCTGAAATCCTCCTTAAACCAAATAATAGTTTGTCTTAGTAACAGTATGTCTACCTTGAACATTGTGTGCTTTCAAAGAATGATTTCAAAAAACAAAAAAACTCACTGTCATGTAGTCGATGCCAACTCAGAGCGACCCTCTAGATCAGAGCAGAACTGCCCCTCTGTGGGTCTACAAGACTGTAACTCTTAGGAGAGTAGAAAGCTTCATCTTTCTGCAGTGAAGCAGCTGGTGGTTTTGAACTGTTGACCTTGCAGTTAGCAGCCCAACTCATTAAGTAGGCTCCTAAGAATTATCTATGTGAGATTGAATTGACAACAGCAATGCAAAAGTTAAATGAGACCAGCAATGCAAGGGGGCTGTACAATTTAGAGAATTGAAAAATATGATCAATTCCAATGAGTTGTAGATGCAGAAAGTGTTGCACTGGTACACGACTGTGAACATTTTCATCAAAACACACAGGCTGGTGAGCTTATTCCATGTGGACCTGGCAGACATCTCACTTTAGATGGCTGCTTGTTTTAAGACGACTTTTTCTCTATTTTTGTCCTTCACAATAACATCTTTTATTCAAATAAAATTCTACTGAAACACAGCGCTCATGATCTTTACATATTTCTACATGCATGGCCGGTGCTAACCACAGGGCCGCCTTTGCCTCTAGTGACGGTACTGCTTGAACTGGAGTCCACAATAGCACAGGTCCCCGTTTGGGTTGCTTTCTCCCGGTTTATGTACACTCAGGGGTGGCCCAGGGCGCCTCCACTGCTCGGCGACCAGGTCAATGGCGAAGTTCTCGTTCACTTCTTTCTGATGACCCACGAACCATATCTGCCTATAATCTCTCTCTTCGTAAACCTGGCCGGTGTGCATGATCTTCTCCCCAATGGCGAAGCCCGCACTTTTAGGACCTAGTATGCTATACTTTCTGAAAAGCCAGGCACCATCTGATTTCTATACCATACTTGGCTATGGCATCCACACCATCGTCTCTTCATGCTTCCTCCATTTTCCTACCCATCAGTGCTGTTATAATCCTTTGCATATTGATTTTTCTTCTCTTTGACACTCAAAACTATATATATATTTTAACTATCATATTTTTATGAGAAATATGTGGGAAGGCTTTTCTTTTTTTTAAAATTTAATCATTTTATTGGGGGTTCATACAACTCTTATCACAATCCATACATACATCCATGTGTTAAGCACATTTGTAGCCATCATCATTCTCAAAACATTTCCTTTCTACTTGAGCCCTTGATATCAGCTCCTCTCAAAACTATATTTTTAATAGGCTGCTACAATAAGTACAATAAAAATTAATGCAGGCAATTTTGGAGGAAAAAAAAGTTGAAGAACTTCCACTCTAAGATTTGCTACTAAAAACAGGGCAAATAAGAGTACAGAATTGGCATTACGATGGACAAATATCATTGGAAAAGAAGAGAACCCAGAAGTAGGCCACACACATATGGTCAACTGACCTTCAACAAAAAGAGAAAAATAATTCCATTGGGTGTAATAATTGGGTTTTCATAATACATAGACCCTTTGTCTTTCTAATAATTCAAAATTTCAAAAGTATATCGCATATATTATAATAAAATCTATTTTCTAAGACATTCCTAATAGTTTATAACTAATGATATAACATCTTTTCTTCAGGGATATTTTGTCTATTTAAAATATAAAGGGAAAAAACATATATACATATGTGTATGTGTTCAAATGTTTCCCAGTTTATATAGCTGCTAAAGTACTACCTACATTTCTACTGTCTATTTTTAAACTTACATATCTCTTATATGTTTTCTTAGTAACACCATAAAAGGCTTCCCTTCACTCTTTTCTATATCTGCATGAATATATCAAAGCTTAATGCAATTGATCCTTTCCTGATAAAAACTCAGGTTGTTTCTAAATCCTTTGTCATGACAAATCAGCATTTTAAATGTAAATTTTACAAGAATATTTTGTGGAGGAAGTTTTGAGTTTTATCAAATATAAACAGAATGAAGAACATTATGATTAATACTTTTAGTCTAGAATTGAAGTTAAAAGAACAGCCTCACTAAATGTTTATATAGTGCAAAAAGGTGCATTTATCTAAAGCAAGTATCTGCTTGCTTACTGGAAGTAGTAAAACATAAAGGGCTGTAAAACTCATAACCTGCATTTTTCTGAGTGCTCACTACATGCCAAATATTTAAATATTTCAACAACCTTTTCAATAAAACTTTCACATATATGAAAATATACAATATATATAATTCAAGGTAGAAGTTGCTTACAGTAATGTCTTTAAAACACACATATAAAGGTCAATGAAATACAAAACAAATGAAAATTTATGGTACAAACCACTGGTTAAATGTACTCGTTGAAAATGTGAGTTCTAAAACTCTTAGAATCAAAATTGCCTGTGATGGAGAATAATGTACTACTCCATGTCTTACATAAGAAAAATATCTTTTTAAAAAAAGAAAGAAAGAAAAATATCTTTTATCTTACCTTCGCAGCCCTCACAGCTTTAACTTTCAGCAGCATATCAATAAAAGCCACTCTTACTTTCTCAGAATTGTCATGGAGACTGCATGCTAGTGTCGGCAAAAGCTGTTCTACTAATGGGTGGCTTAGCTTATTATCCAAAAGTAATGGCAGACACTATAAGGAAAAAGAAAGATGAACAGTTCAAAACTAGAACAGGTCAATGAGGAGATAGGGTAAGAAAAATTCAGTTAAGAAGACATTCAGTTCCACCTCTACAAAACATGTTAGTGTAATAAGCATGCATAAAGAAGCACATTTTTCTAAAGTAGTTTCATAAAAAAAATTTCATCCTCTGTTCAAACAAGATTAAATCAATTTTATAAAAGTATTTTTCCAACACTCTCTCAGCTAAATTTTAGGTTTGGAGAGTTGAAAGAAACATGGAACAAACATTCACTAGTGGAGGGGTCTCCAAATTCAGTGGTGTCTGAAATGGGGTCCAAGAATGTTCCCATCTGTATTTGCTAACATGATAGGACGGTAGATGGAGTAGAACCAGAGGTTACCATAGTCGTCATTTTTGTTAGACTCATACATTCACATGAATTTCTAATACAATTCTTCAGATTGGCATTAATGTTTCTTTACAGGAAAAAGAGCTGATGGAACGTCATGCAAACCAAGGGCCTGAACTCAAGTCTTCAGATACTAGGTCCCAAACTCCTAATGCTCTACTGTCTTCTTTATCCAGTTATTAGGAGAAAGGATATTTTCGCAGGTTCTTATTAAAAGCAAATATAATGCACACACACATACGAAATGGATCATTTTTACTGCATAACTTAAAACTAATTTTCCTAAAGCGCATGCAGCTATTCTAAAACTGTGCCAAATGGTGGTCTGATCTGAGTCATCTGCCAGCACCAGCTGCTCTACTTCGTCATCTCCTTCTCAAGCCTTCTCCACTCCAAACCAGACCTGCTCCCACCACGCAGACAAAACAGCCTCCATTTTGTTCAAGCCCATATATCACAAGTTCTACTCTTTTGAAACACTCCTCCCTTGGCTTCCACGACACTCTGTTTTACTCTTATTTCCTCTATTTCTCTGCCCTTTCCTGTGCAAACTTTCGGTTTATTTTCTTCTACCCAGGAGCTCCACCTGTCCCCCGTCACAAAATGCCCGTAACACACAAAAAGTCTTTTTAGGCATTTAGAGTGCTAGGCTACTGCAGCCACCCACAGGAGTGATGATAATTACCTAGATTCGAACACTGGAGTGGATGGAAGTGGGCAAATGTCAGAGAATTCTTGGGAGAGAAAATGGACCACATTTAGATGTAGGAGTGAAGGAGAATGGGAAAATAAGAATAGCAGTCTGTTTTCTCACTTAAACAATTCAGCAGATGGCATTACCACTTCAAAGAAAGAGGTCAGGAGTGAGAGGGGAAAAAAAGTATTACTTCCTTGGGTAGCAGGAGGTTTGGGGATGTAGATAAGAAATTTGTTACTAGAGATGACATTGACTGTCATCATTGTCACATCACACTTTGTGACACTGACACATCATAGTCATTGAGATCTCCAGTCACTTTGGGAATGACCTTACTGAAGAAAACTGCCTAAGGTTATGCCTCCTTCATTGCATCCAATGGCTGATCACGGTGAGAGATAAAGGCATGGCCCCTATGCCAAGTTGAGACAAGTCTGACGGGCTATGCCAGCTCCAGACCTTCCGTGGGGTTCCGAAGTCTTCACTGGGATTGTTCCACAATTTAATTTTTTCTTCTGCCCAATTCGGCTTCTTTCCCCCATGTCCATGGGTGTTGATCCCCAAGACTACTTCCTACTCAGACACTAATTTCCATCTCACACACTAATTTCCATCTCAGAATTAGCTTCCCAGGAACCTAACCTGCCAGAGATAATCCACTGGAGGTACCTAAGAAGGATCCAAGTAAAGCTCTCAAGTAAACAGCTGTCTATCCACCGGGATCCAATCAACTGCACAGACATTGTAGTTGAAGCCAAGACTATTAACTAGATGATCTAGGTTGAGCCAGTACTAGTGAAATAAGAAGGTGGCACAACTCAGAGCTCTGCCCTAGGTCAACATTTAAAGAATAAGATAGATTGATGAGAAGGGCATCACTGGGGATTTATAATGTTAAGAAAGATAACAGGGGAATGTCAGTTTCATGTAAGTCAACAGAAAAGCCAGGGTAAAATGCTACTCAGAGATAAAAGAATAGTACAATCATTATAGGGAACTAATACAAAAGGGGATACTGGAATCTTCTAGAAATGTTTTATTGAGGTAATCAATCTGGAAGATTAGGGAATGGTGGATTAGAGAATGTATAGGAAATAGAGACAGAATATTTAAGTGACCATATAATTTAATATTGAAACAAGAATTATTTTGAGAGTAAAAAGACTGCTAATAACAATTACCGCAGGGCAATAGGCAGAGCTAGAATGTACATTAATCCAACAAAATACCAGCAACCTTTACAAAAGTTCTACTCCAAAAGGAGAGGGCAGGTGGTATTCTGCATCTGGAAATAAGCCAAGGGAAGATTTTTATTTGTTTTTAGGCAGAGAGATGAACATGTTTACAAAGTCACTGACGCTGTTGAGAGGGAAAGTTGAACACTCCCCAAAACAAACAAGCAAACCCCAAATCAGCAGAAATGGTAACAGTAAGTCAGAGAGGTTCTTGAGAAGGTGGGAGAGAAAGGGACCCCCTGCTTTCTCACGAAAGGAAGGCTCACAGTGTGCAGTAGGAAAAGGCTAAAGAAGAGCCTCTCCAGAAATCTGCTTTCCATGCAGGGAAAAGCTGTCAGCTTTGCACACACAGGATGTCGGAGGGTTCAAATAGTTCAAGTAGCAGGGAAATGAGATCACTTTCTCTTCACTCATCTGGAGAGGCCCTCCAGAAAGTGCTCACATTTGACATGTGGTTCCCCTATAGAGACAAGCCAAACACAACCTCCAACAGCATTCAGGATGGGAGCCTTGGTAATCTCCACTGGCTCTCTACATCACCACACTTCTAATTCATCACCATAGTTAGCCCCGCCCCCTAAAAAAAAAGACAGTGATCACTCCCACCACCTTCTGAAGTCCAAATTATAATTTCTAAAATTCTACTTGGTTCACATTGACTAAAAACGTTCCTCGGGTATTTCTGATACCTAAGAAGTTAGAGAACCACTGGATTAGTTCACAGTACCCTTAGCACAAAGCTTAGGAGTTCAACACCCCACGGGCACAACAGCATCACTTTATTCTGTCTCTGCAGACTGCACCAACTTGTGTATGTATCATGTTTCTCAAAGACGCTGCACAAAGAGACAAAGTAGGAACAAATCCTCAATAAGACTGGGATGGAAGGCAGCTTTTATTTCCCTTCTACACTAAAAATCGGTATTGCTTCGATTACATCTTTTCTAGTAGAAAACATTTTTAATTTACTTTCTAAACATTCTTCCTTTTGATATATAGCAAAATGCCAATAACGGTTACTACATGACAAAATTCTGGGTGAAATTTTAAAATCAATTTTCTCCTATTTTCTAGCAATTCTATGATTAAATATTGCTTGCAGAATTTTAGAAACTCTTACCTTAAAGACAGAGCAACGGACGTCAGCTGAGCTTGTATCAAACGCTAGTTCCCCTGTTACTTTCTTTAGAAGATCAATAAGAATGGTTGGAGGCATCATTTCCCAGTATTTGGAAGTTATCTTACATACCCCCAGGATCCCGGTGGAACGGACCACTGGATAAGGATCTTCTAAAAGACTCTACAAATAGGAGAAGGAAAAGCTTAAAAATTTTAAACAATTTACTTTATATCACTATTATGCTTTATACATTAGCCATTTGGGGAATTCACAAACTTAGTAACAAAGATATCACAAATTACAGAAAAATTATGAAGAAAACTTATGAAAGAATAAGGAAGAAGAAAATAAAAACACTGAAAAAACACCTATAGTCTAAAGGCTAAACGTGTAGATGGAATCCATAGGGTCTCAAGAAGAGGTGTGGGGGTAGAGGTGGGGGTCGGGATTCAACAGATAAAGAGAAACAAATGTTCTAAAAGTTTCAGGAACTTGACAATGTAAAGTATCTTGACAAGTCTAGGGGAAAAAGTTTTAAAGGTAAAATTCTATACTATAAATGAAATGCGAGAGTAAAATGAAAGACCATTTTGGAATTCTAAGCCTCAAAGAGACCTTCCAAACTACTCCAGATATACTGTAGCAAAACAGGACTGACTGAAATGCTTGTTTATAATATTACTGGCTATAATAATTCCCCCATATGTTTATTTTATCCCCAAAAGTAGTTCGTGGTTTTGACAGGATATGTTGCACACACGAGCCTTGCCCTATTAAACTTCATCATAAGCAGAGTTGAAACTAAAATCTGTGTAGACAGTGACAGCTCAAATTTATGAGACTGCTTACTTAACTTTTTGCTATTTAAAAACAAAAAATTATCTCCATACCAAGCTATCCCAAAACCAAGTACACTGCTGCAAGTAGATTCTGACTCAATATGCAGTTTTAAAAATCAAACACGCCATCAAATGTTTTCTACATTTGATGTAGAAAATAATTATTCAAAAATAATCTATTTTTGAAACTTTAGAGAAATTTATTAGAATCTAATATTTCTTCAGAAGCAAATTTTAGTAGATTTCATCAATTTTTCTTCCCTTAAATTTTTCTTCATATAGATTTAATTTATAATCAATATAATTTAAAAGATGTCAATGGGTCAAAAACCTAAGTATTAGAAGAGAGATCAAGAAACACTTCATTTGTTAGTATCTTATACAGATGCAAGAATCAAGCAAATTTGTTATCTAATTTCCAAAACTGATACCTCCCAACATGCCTTTGTTTTGTGTTTTGTTTCTTAATAAATCATTTTATTGGGGGCTCTTACAGCTCTTATAACAATCCATACATCAATTGTATCAAGAACATTTGTACATATGTTGCCATCATCATTTCCAAAACATTTTCTTTCTACTCGCACCCTTGGTATCCACTTCTCTTTTTTCCTTCCGCCCCACACCCTCCCACCCTTATACACCCTTGATAATTTACAAATTATTTTTATTTTCATATTTTGCATCATCCGCTGTCTCCCTTCACCCATGCCAACACTCCTTTCATTTTGTAGACCAAAACTAAACTCAATTCTCTATTTACTCAATTCTCATACACAACGCATAAGATTTACTAATAAATTCCTAATATTATATTTAGACTATTTTGGGGGGGGGGGAACCTCACTGCCATAAAGTCAATGCTGACTCATAGCGACCTCACTGTGGGTTTCTGAGACTAAGAGTTTACGGGAGTAGGAAGCCTAATCTTTCACCCACAGAGTTGCTATTGTATCACTTTACTTTTTTTAAATGGTAGGGTAACCACTACCATTTAAGCATTTAGAAATTTCACCAAGTGTTTCATATATAATTTTTCATTTAAATATTATACAAATCTTATGAAAATTTAATCTTTACGAAATAACATACATTATTATTCCTCCAAGTGTTACAGAGGAAAACAGAACTGAAGGGAAGTCATCAATATCACACTTATGGGATTCAACTGGGATTCAAAACAAAATTTGTCCTCTGTGCTCTTATTTCACTGCACTACACAGTGTCGCAATCCATCCAGCAATAGGTTTCCAATTTCCTACTCACATGCATTTAGATCAGGAGTGACAACTGCAAATACCCAGTGGGATTTAACATTTACTACAGATGAATAGAATACTTTACTATATTTTTATTATTAAATTTTATATTTATACTATATTATAGAATGTATATATCATATATAATCATGTTGTATAAAACAATGTATCATATAATATATGTGACATGATTATATATTATGATAATTATATCTAAATATATAGTGGGTATTTATGCTGTTTCTTTACTATATTTAGTATTATATTTATTTTTAATAGAAGTAATTTTTATGTAAGAGTGATAGGGAATAGTGGGCATGGTGATAAAACTGGCAGCATATACTCCATTGATGAATTCAAATATCAATATTAAACATTTCAAGAGGGAACAAAAGAACTTATTTGCAGACTAGAACACCTGATTTGAAAAGGGCAACATTTTTGACAATATTTTGCTTAATGCTATTAAAATCTAGTTTTGATTTGCCCAATAATATTTTGCTCTACAAATTTGACCACGGAAACAAGGCAAACATGGAAAAAATATGAGTAATCATTTTATATGGTCGATATGAAAATATTCATAAGATTTTATCTCAATGTGCCCAATGCTTTAAGTTTTCCATAAGTCATAATCAAATGGGTATTTTAAGGAGGGTCATTTATAACTATCATTATCACAGTGATTTTACTACTTTGTTTCCTGTTATATTCTACTAATTAGAGTAATAAATAATATTCGTTGATTAGCTTTTGTGCTAGGAAAACCTGCAAATGCTAATGTGGGCCTATTAATAGATAATTAATTTTGAATTCTAGCTAGTAGTCTTTAGATAAAAGCGAGGGGGGAATCCATGCTAGCAAATGGAAAAAAATCAAAGTAAGTCAAAAAGTAGTGCTACAAGGGGTCCGATGCATACACATGGAGGTTATCCCCCACAAAACACCGATAAGTATGTTCTGCAATCAATGGATGACTGTAGACAGGTCTCTAAGTAATATCTCTGTCTTCGTCCCGTTAGGGTGCCTTCAAAATAAAGAGTGGTGCAAGCAAACCAATGCCCTCTGACGGGATCTGGAGGACGGTGCAATTCAAGGCGGAGGTCCACTCATTACCGTTGTCCTTTGAAACGCCAAAGGACACAGTACAATCATGGGAGTTTGTTAGGAACAAGTTTTAAGAAAATAGAAAACTGTATTGGTAAGAAAAGGGCCAAGAATGTTGAAGAGATGAATTTTTCCATCGTGACAATAACCTGCTCATTTTTCAAGAATAGCAAGAGCTGTCCTACGAGAATCTCATGGGAAGCCTCACCCTCTCCACCCTTCAGCCCGGATCTTTCCCTTTCCGACTTCTTTTTGTTCCCCAAACTCAGAGAACATGTAAAATTACCAGGATCTGAGTCCACGAGGATGACAAAGCTGAACCCTAGAATGCCAGATCAGCCATTTGAACATGGTATAAACGAAGAGTACAGAATTTTTCAGAATATGGAAACATCGCCTTCAGAAGAGCAGACCTAAATGGTGAAACACTAGCTTCACTTTTTGATTACTTTGTTTAATAAAGGTTTCTATGGTTTTATAGCAATACTTTTATTAGACTTAGCCTAGTATATATCACATACTAATGTCCTAAATAGTAGTCCTGCAGTGCTGTTAAACACTTGGCTACTAAATGAAAGGTTAGCAGTTCAAATCCATCCAGTAGCACCCCAGAGAATAAAGACCTGGAGATGTGCTACCATAAAAATTACAGCCAAGGAAAACCTCCAGGTTCTCTGTCTAATTGGGTCACTAGGAGTCAGAATTATCTCAACAACATTGAGAAAAGATAATGTCTTAAAGAAGTCCTTGTGCGGTGTAAAAGTTAAGTGCTTGACTATTATCGGTAAGGGCGGGAATATGAGCCCACTCAGAGGTCCCTCTGAAGACAAGCATGGTGATATGCTTCCCAAAGGTCACCACCACCTTGAACATCCTATGAAGCAGTTCCATTCTGCTGGCACAGGGTGGTCTTCTGGGAGTGAGAATCGACACAACAGGAACTAATACAACATTGTAGCATCTGATTTTAAAAAATCAATCATTTGGTATATTGAAATGAGCACTATTTATAGAATAGGCATTATTTGTAAGCTTGCCTTACAGCCAGTTTTTGTTATAGCCCATACATTCCCAAACTTATTTGGCTTAATGCCCCTTTTTCATAAAAAAGAAAAAAAAATTACTCAGCACCCCTCTGGCAATGAAAAACGTTTGTACTATATTTAGCTCACAATACAGGATAAAGCATAAGTATCTGCTTTGGCAGCCTCCACCCACAGAGAAAGCTCTAGGAATTCTGATGGCATAATGGGTTGCCCTTTGGGCTACTAACCACAAAGTCAGCTGTTCAAAATCACTAGCCACTCCGTGGAAGGAATATGAGGCCTTTTACTCCATAGTTGCACCCTCGGAAACTCAGAGGCAGTTCTACCCTGTTCTATAGGGTCCTAAGAGCTGGAATCTACTCAATGGCAGTGTTTGGGTTTTTTGAGGTTTTGAGGGATTTTTAGGGGTCATTCAAATGGTGTAGTGGTTATGCATTGGGCTGCAATCTGCATGGTTGGCAGTTCCAAACCAAAAGCAGCTCCATGGGGGGAAAATGGACTTTCTGCTGCCTTAAACAGTTAGAGGCTCAGAAACCCACAGGGGGTCGATATGAGTCAACATTGACAAGACGGCAGTGAGTTTGATTTTTTGGTCCTGCTTTCCCCAGAGGACAGTATCACCCACTTTTGAAAATACTTATAAACACAAATGAAGGCACAAGGGCAGTCGGAGCAGAAACCCAAAGTCTATCTGTAGACATTGGATATTCCCTCACTGAGGGGTCACAGGGAAGGGATGAGTCAAGCAAGGTGCAGCAGAGCACCAAAGAAACACAATACTCCTCTGGTTCCTCGAGACTTCCTCACCCCCCACTATCATGACCCTACTACTGCCTTTCACTGAGGGCTAGAAGGGAGCATGTGCACAGGTACGGATAAGATATAGGAGTTCATGACACACAGAATTCATGAACAGGAATGGGAGCAGCAATACCACGAGGGTAGGTAGGAAGAGGGGAGGAAGGAGGAACCGATCGCGGAGATCAACACATAACGAAACACACCACAATCGGTGTAGAATATGAACATAGTAAGTTATGATTTATTAAGGGCCATGGAGGGGACGGGGACAGAGGGGAAAATGAGGAACTGACACCAAGGGCTCAATCTAAAGTAAATGTCTAGAAAATGATGGCAACGCATGTACAAATGTGCTTGTTACAACTGATGTATAGATTGTTATTAAGAGCTATAAGAACATTCAATAAAATGATTAAACAACCTTATGTAACCAAGAGAGAAAGAGAAATGAAGACATAGATAAAATTACATAGCTATTAAGTGAGATACCAAGTACAATTCAAACCTGGGATATTTGACCCCAGTGCATGTGATTTTAATCACTGTTATTTTCTCTTTCTCTTAGCGACAGATACATGTAAAATGATTAAGTACATGTAAAATGATTAAAATTATATAAAGTAATAAATTATGTCCGCAAAGTAATGTTGATATGTCAAATTTTTTTAAATGTTTACCACTGTGGTTTTTAAAAATGGTCTGTATGGAAAAAAATAAATAAAAAGAGCACTAGGGACTCATTATTGCAGACAACATGAATAAAGAAACTGGATATTTTCTTTATTCCTGGGTTTAGAAAAGCCTTCCATGTGAGGAGGTAAGTATATGTATGGTCAGAGACTCAGATTTGTCAGGTGACACAGATAAGCAAGCAGTAAGCATACCCCCCCAGAGCAGGCTGAAGTTGATAAGGCCCAACCACACGAGTACGTACATAGAGTTCTTCAAACTGTCTCTGGATTTCACTATCCATCTCAGCAGCACTAAAGTTTGGATCCCTAATAGGAAATGCTTCAACAAATAACAGTGCAGCATTTGATCGAACTTCAGAATTTCGTGCCTGTAATAATAATAATAATAAAAGAATATTTCATATTCTTTTTTTAAATCATTTTCTTGGGGAAATATTTCATATTCTAAGGCAGTAATATATGAAGCCTGTAGTCTATAGTTCCTAAAGACATATTTCTGTTATCTTATGATATACTTACTGTATATACTCATGTATAAGCTGAGTTTTTCAGAACATTTTTTAAAATCATTTTATTGGGGGCTCATACAACTTTTATCACAATCCATACATACATCCACCGTGTCAAGCACATCTGTACATCTATTGCTCTCATCATTCTCAAAACATTTTCTTTCTACTTAAGCCCTTGGTATCAGCTCATTTTTTTCCCAATCCTCCCCCACCCTCCCTTCCTCACGAACCCTTGACAATTTATAAATTATTTTTTTATGCCATTTTTGTGGTAAACAGGTGTCCAGGCTGATATTCGGGTTGGCTTATACTTGAGTATATATGGTAAGTACAGATTATATCATTTATTTACAATTATATTAATTAAATTGATCACACTTATCAGTCTTTAAATTAAGTCAAACCTTCAGTTCAATATCAATAGATATTAATAGAAAAAATCAGTTACCTCACTTTGAAGTCCCATATCACATCATTAGGAAACATTCACCATCTTATCGTAATTACTGACACCACGATTATTTGCATTGAAAAATGTAAGTGTTGACTTTAACACTCATTCAGAGTGCTTTTTGTCATCCTATTCCCATTTACCAACAAACTGGGAAATACACAGATCATGAGATACTAACGATGACCTTGCCAGGCTCTGCAGATCATCTGTAGGTATTGTTGACTTTAATGCATACTGCTATTTCCCTCCATAGAGATGACTACTTCAGAAATGACTGTGCAATTGACATCAATTAGCTCAGACTGCCTGTTCAAAAATCTAAGAAACGCTTTCAATAAAAGAAAAAAAATCCCCAGAACTTTCATGCCCAAATTTCACATTCAGTCTAGAATCTTACTTTTATTGCCTTAATAGAATTTTGAGTTACAGAATGCTAAATCCAAAAGCATGTTTAGTAAACTCTGAACATGAATTATACTCTTTAAAATGTATACCTTTAATCCTCTCCACAGGATGGGTTTATATAATCTATAAAGCATCTCTTCCACTCCCTGTCGCACACTCTTTTGATGGTGAAAATAACTTAGCACCTGAGAGCAAATAAAAAGATTTGAAGAAGTCATCGTTTACTTGGAGCCAGGAATCCATTTCACAACCCACTATTCTTTCTTTTAAGCCATTTTATACATTTTCCTATAAATTTAATGATTTTTAAAAATAAAAACGGTAAGTTTACACTTATAATATCTTAACAAGACAACTGCAGCAGAAAATAAGATATGAGAGAAAAAAATACATTAGTTATCAGTTTCCAGGAGCTTTCTTTTATGTAGCTTAACATGTTGCCATTGTTTATTACTATGCAGAATTTAAACCAACAAATTATATGGATGAGACAAATAACCCAAATTGATCTACAATTTAATAAAACCACACTACAATTACGAGATAGAATCCATTTGCCCTGTAATTTATATTACATTATTAAAAACATTAATATATCTTATTTTCCTTTAATATAATACATTTTTAAAAATCATATTTTTATTCTAAATATATTACATCACAATTTTTAAAGCCCTTCAGAAAACTAGAAAAATCTCTGGTTCTTTAACCTGAGTAACTCAAATTTAATCAGCAGAAATTTGAAAGATTTCAAAATTAATACAATTATTTTTGTATTTATAATAATAATTTTACCATATAAAAAAAGCAAAGAGGTGACCTTTGTTCATTTAGCTTCTGGTACATAATTGGTAAAGCTATGAGCAGAAACAAGCATTACTCTGTGGGATAGATGGCATGTGCTAACTTAACTAAACACAGACAGATTTTCTAATTCTTTCTGCCAGGATAATTATAATTAATCAAATACCTTATCTGTGAAATAGTGACACTGGTAACAGCAATATCTTGTCAGACCACTTCTAAATGCAATGATAAAATATACACCTAAATTCTGTGATTATATTTTTTAAATATCAATCTTATTAAGAATTTATTCCACTTGATTTGATGAATACCCACATAGGAACTTAATCTCAAATATGCTCTAAAAAATACAGTAGTGGCAATCAGAGTGATGATTTCTAATTAAAGGCTTTTTTCAGTAAAATTTGGGATGTCTTAACAATACACCTTTTCTCATTAAAATCTGGATAGCAGCAATAACACTGACTGAGATTATCACACACCTAGGTTCTTAGAAACCCGTTTCACTGAAATTGAACCCCAAAGAGAATTTGAAAAATACTTGTTACAAAATGAATTGCATCAAGATATCCCTTACCTCCCGTACTTTTGAATGTACTGGAGACGTCCTTCTAAGATTGATTCCATGATACATGAAGTCTTGAATGCAACCATTCTCAATTGTCTGGAAAAATAAATACATGTGTGTGGGTTTGTGTGTACATGTATGACACGACAGCACAACATTCTACAAACAAATACAATTTTAGACACTAATGATGCATATAATGAGAAATAGAAACCTGGATCCTTCAATCAAGTTGTTAACTTAAATTTGCCATTTCTTGGATTTCCTTTAGCATTCATATGCCAAAGAGAATGCTTAGCTTCTTCTTTTACATTATTTGACGATTGCTAATTGGCATGGCAAGCTTCCACCTACACTAGAGGCTGGTTCAAACCCTGACAGTTTAGAGATATAAGTGTAGGGTTCTGACACAAGGCCTCTTTGGCATCATCCCATGCCAAGCTAAGCTTAGAAGACTGGATCTGTCCCAAGAGCCTCTCCACACTGAAAACTGAACTACTTCTAAGGCGCGAGCTAGGTTTCAAAATTACTGTAATAAGACCCTTCAGGAGTACCACTGAGAAACAGCAGGGTAGTAGAGGTGAGTGTTTGAGGCCCTGCAACTAACTCTTTAAAGTCTCGCCACAGGGAATGACTGAAGGAAAACCAAGCTTTCAAAACAGCTGCCAAAAGCTCCAATAGACCTTTCAGTCTGTAACTCCTGTACATCCCCACACATCCCCCGCCCCCTGTTGCCACGCACGCACACCAGAGATTCCGTTGCTTTAGGAGATAATGCTAGATCTAAGGAAACCTAACTATTAACCAATGGTTCAGTAACTTTGGGACAGCCAGATTTATCTGTTGTATGGTTGACAAAAGATGAGCTACATACCACTTATGAAGTATGTTTGTCAAAAAAGTTTAATGCAAATCTTCAGAGCTAACTATTAGAATATGGCACATTCCATAGGGTAACTGACCTGGTTTCTTCACCATACCATTGACATGGGTTTCTAAAACATAAAAATCAATGGTATAAATCTTTATGGGAGCAAACAGCCTCATCTTTCTCCTGCGTAGCAGCTCAGGGTTTTGAGCCACCAACTTTTCAGTTAGCAGCCCAATGCTTAATCCACAGCACTGGCAGGGTTCCTTCTTTCACTGAAGGCTAAACAAGCACTGTATGTACCTGTTCCACCTCACCTACAAATTCCACGTAGACACAAATGCATAGGTAAGAATAGATATTCTTCAGAACCCAAGGACCGCCAATACTAGAGCTCTATCATTTAGATTTTTATTATTTGGTTTTGTCAGAAAATATCATTTAAAAAGGTTTACATAACTAATCACAAACCACTTAATTAAGGACCCTGGTGGCACAGTGATTAAATCCTCAGCTACAAACCAAATATCGTCACCAGTTTGAACCCAGCAGGTATTTCATGGGAGAAAAAAGTTGGCAGTCTGCTTCAGCAAAGATTAAAGCTTTAGAAGCCCTAAGTGGAAGTTCTGTTCTGTCCTGTAGGGGCCACTATGAGTCAAAATCAACACTACGGCAATGGGTAACCACTTGTTTAGTTGTTTAAAATTATCAAATGCTGTTGCCTGGATTCCAACTCATTTAATAACCAGAATATAATAAAAATAGGTATTAACATTTAATAACATAAAGAGCAAATACCTCCTGTATTTTCCCTGAAGCCTTTTGCCAAGCTCTGAAATAGATTTCCGCAATATGCACCATCAACGATCTACAAAAAAACAACACACACGCACACACATGCTTTTTAATGAAAATTATAAGAATTATACTTGTAACATTCTAATTAGTCCCTGAACAAAGGGGAAAAAATTCAAGTTTAGTAATTTGAAAAGATATGCTATCCACTTGCCGCAGAAACTGGGGAGAAAGAAAGGTAAGGAGGACTGGCATGACAACTGCTTCCTTCCTCCTCAATTAGTTTTACCAGAAATGTATTATTGTTTGTGAAAATTTGAGAACATAGTCCAGAACCAAACTCAAAAGCCATTTGTTTTTTGATGTGTTTTTTGATGTGGAGTCCTTTTGGGCTTTCCAGGTCACTGATTCCCACAGGTACAGAGAGCCTTAAAATTCCAGAACTTGCCTTCAGAATCGGAGAATGTTATAAATTATTAGTTCAACTCAAAGACACAGAATAATTTCCACGTTGTACTTACATAGTTACTGACATTAGGAAAAGTACTAACAAAGCCCGCCTGAAAAGATGGTTATAATGATTAAATGATAAAACACAGACAAGTACTTAGTTTTGTATCTATCACACAGCAAATATTTACTATATTAGATACAATGGGGCACAACTCAAAATGAGAAAATAGAGTTGCAAACATCAATTAATAATTGGAAAGTTGAGTAAGTATGAATCTGGAAAATTGGAAGTTGTCAAATGTGAAATGGAATGCATAAAGAACAGCATTCTAGGCATTAGTGGGCTGAAGTGAACTGGTCCTGGCTATTCTGAATTAGAAAATCATATGGTTTACTATACTGGGAATGAGAGATTCAAGAATTTTCTGAAGATCATTCAACAACAGTTGTAGCAGTACACTGACAGGGAGCTGGCAGAGAAACAGCTGAATTCAGAAGAGGGCATGGAACAAGGGATATCACTGCTGATGTCAAATGGGTCTTGGCTTAAAGCAGAAAATACCACAAAGATGTTTACTTGTATTTTATTGACTATTTCAAGGTTTTCTACTGTGTGGATCCTAAGGAACTATGGATAGCCTTGAGAACAACAGGAATTCCAGAAGACTTCATTATGCTCAGGCAGAATTTTCACATGGATCAAAAGGCAGTTGCATTAACAGGAAAAGGGAATACTGCATTGTTTAAAATCAGGAGAGCATGCACAGGCTTGTATCCTTTCATCATACATATTCAGTTTATATGCTGAGCAAATAAATCACTGGAGAAGCTGGATTATAAGAAGAGTGTGGCATCAGAACTTGAGGAAGGCTCATTAACAGCAATCAATATGCAGATAATACAATCTTGCGTGCTCAAAGTGAAGAAGACTTAGGTTACAACTCCATGTAAAGAAGACTAAAATCCTCACAACTGCAAATAGGTAACATGATCAATGGAGAAATGGTTGAAGTTGTCAAGAATTTTGTCTTGTTTGGATCCACAATCAGTGCTCATGGAAGCAGCAGAGATCAGTGGGCACATTGCACCGGGTAAATCTGCTGCACAAGACCTCTTTAAAGAGTTGAAAAGCAAGGAGATTACTTTAAGGACTAAAAATAATGATTTGGAGAAAGTCATGGTCCTATCAATCACCTCATATGCATGTGAATGTTGGACACTGAATATGGTCGACTGAATACAAATAAAGAAGAATTGATTAAGTTTAATTATAGTGCTGGCTAAGAATACTGAAAGTCCCATGGACTGCCAAACGAACAAATAAACCTGTTTTGAAAGAAGTAACCACCAGAATGCTCCTTAAAGACAAAGATGGGGAGATTCGTTTCACATACTTTGGACATGTTGTCAGGAGACCAGTCCCTAGAGAACAGCATCATGTTTAATACAGTAGAGATGCTTGGTAAAATAGAGGGGCTGTGAAAAAGAGGAAGGCCTTCAACATGACTGATTGACACAGGGACTGCAACAATGGGCTCAAACATAAGAACACTTGTGAGGATGGCTCAGCACCAGGCCGTGTTTCACTCTAACTTCGCGATGAGTCAGAATGGCTGGAAAGCATCTAACATTACATTCAAAGTGCTTACTGAGTTAACACTTGAATGTACATCTCCCGATTCTTATACTATAGTGTTCTATCTACCTAATTACATAGTGCTGTCCATATTAAATTGAAAGATACATATTATACACACATATTATACACAAAATGTTATTTGAAACACTGGTAATGTGGGCTTTATAAAAATTGTCAATGAGGTTGAGATTTAACTGGCAAAATAATGACTATATAAAGAACAAATAAAAATCTTAATTCCAGTGAATGTTACCGAAAAGGTGTCATTTCCTATAGAACAGTGTTTCTACCAAAGTGGGCCACACAGTCCCAGGGAGAGGGAGGGAGAGTGCATTTGAATGATCCACAGAGGCTACAACAGCAGATGGCTATACTTTACCCTGGATTATGGCTAAAGTACAAAAGGTTTTAATTTTCTTTTATTATTTTTTTAAATTAAAATATCATTTTATTGGGGACTCTTACAGCTCTTATGACAATCCATACATCAATTCTATGAAGCATATTTGTACATACACTGTCATCATTATTTTCTAAACTTTTACTTTCCATTGAGCCCTTAGTATCAGCTCCTCTTTTTTCCCTCCTTCCCCCAAAAGTTTTAATTTTCAAGGGTTGCTATTTTTTTTCCCTTAAAAAGGGGCAGTAGGCAGTAGGAACCTAGGGGAATCAATCACAAGGATCAACATATAACCCCCTCCCAGGGGGACAAATAACAGAAAAGTGGGTGAAGGGAGACAGAAGATGATGCAAGATATGAAAATAATACTTATAATTTATCAAGGGTTCATGAGGGAGGAGGGTAATGAGAAGCTGATATCAAGGGCTCAAGTAGAAAGAAAATGCTTTGAAAATGATGATGGCACCATATGTACAAATGTGCTTGACACACTGGATGAATGTATGGATTGTTGTAAGAGCTGAAGAGCCCCCCCAAAAAAGTACTTAATAAATTTAAAAAAATAATAATAAAAGTTTAGGAACCTATGCTATAGAAGAAGCAACAAAAACTATCAATAACACAAGAGTACATAATCAACAGAATAAGAGCTATGACAAAGGTTTAAAATGCTGTAATTTTTTAAAGCAATTTTAAAATTGGATCAAATTGATAAAAGCAACTCAAAAGATTAGGGCAAAGAGGTTCTGTTGACGAGAGAGGGAGAACTCAACAAAGGAGGGTGAGGACAGCTGCACACTTGAAGAATGCAATCACTAGCCCCAAGTTGAACAGGCAGAAATTTTACATTAGCATGTGCTCTGCTGCGTATATTCTCAACAACAAAATGAACACAACTCAGACCAGAAAGAAAAAATTAAAAATCAGATCAAATATAACTTTTCAAAACCAAAAACATGAAGACAAAATATTAAATACCTTTAATACTTACTTTTGTAATCCCTGTAACTGGTTTTTAATGGTCCCATGGATCATTTTTATAAAGTTTACATTCCAATTGAAGAGAGAACTAAGAAATCTTCTTCCCTGTAGATATTAATTGGGATATATTGTTAAAATTGCATCAAAATTAAAATTTTTGCGAAAAAATGTTTAATAACTTTAAAAAGTTGCTATTCTGAGTCTCTTCTGACATCCAATTTAGATCTTTCTTTCTTGCGTCTTTATAGGGACCTTTTGCTTTCTTCATGGATGGTATCCTAATGTCATTCCACAACTCATTTATCTTAAATTTAAAGCTTAGCTGTCTTCAATGCAAAGGAAACATCAAATTTAAAAAGCAGGGATGAGTATTTTCAAAGCACATTTATATTTATGTCTATATTATGTACTTATACATATATCAATGTCTATGCTATATATTCACACATATAACTTACCAAATGCTTATATACTCATCTGAATGCAATATTAAATTCCTTATTCTCCCCAAATTTCATAACAATCTTGAAAACACTTAGGGAATGGGTCATGCATTCAGTATCTTTCCCAGCAATGATGGTTGGTGCTTATGAAAACACAGGGTCCCTAATGTTTCTTCAGTGCTTATTATATGCCAGGTATTTTCTAACACTTTTACAGATATTACCTCATTGATTCCTCAGGGGGATCCCGTGAAATAGCCATTGCTATTCCACTTTTTCGGAAGGGAAAATTGAGATTTAAATAGAGTAAGTAGTCTGTCAACAGTTACTTACCTATTGAGTGAATGAATAGGGATTTCAACACAATTTTTCTGAGCCTACAGCTGTAATTCTTAGTCTAAATCACATATTTAAGACTACATTGTTAACCTAGTTAGCTATAAAGCACACAGTAGTGGGCAAATGACATAAATGTAACGGCTCTTTACAGCTAGGCACTTTCATTAAAACAATGAACAGAGTACAATTAGCACCAATGGGAACATAAGAAGAAGATCTATTTAAAAAGTTCAAAAAGATACGAAAACAAAAAACTACTTCACCTCTTCTTTCTTGATGTAATTAACACTTATAAAGCACTCAAGTAGCATATCTTTAATTTCTCTACTTTCCTCCAAATCATAATCAAAGCAATATAAAGCTTCGTGGATATGCCAAAGCCTGCATATGTCTGCACCCTAGGAATGACATAAAAAAGAAAAAAAGTTATATTTAGAGTTTCATTTTTTCATATAAATGGTAAGGCTGCATCTCAAATTAAATATAAGCACAGTCTATCTCACAGTAACCATAATTCTAGATTTAAACTGAACAGATTTTTAAATTACAAAATGTCACCATAGCTCTAGAGAACACCTGTTTAAAACATGGGCAAAAGCAAACAGAAATGCTGATAACGCTACTCAACAGATCTGTGCTGATGGAAATATTCTATATACCTACCACCTGGTACAACACTCATTGGCCACATTTGGCTACTGAAATGAGAAGTGCATGCCCAAAGAACTGAATTTAAAGGGTTTTCACTTTGGAACTTTAAAATTCAATTTTAATAGCCACACATGGCCAGTGACTACTGTACTGAACAGCATGTATTTCAATATTAGAAAGAAATTAAAAATCATGACCCAGGAGTTAAAAAAATTGACAGGGAATGCAAAATTTTAAAAGGCTGGTATAAGAAGAATAAATGTTAACATAAAGTAGGCTACCTGAACATTCCCAAGACCAGCAGAAAAAACAGATTACTAGCTGGAGGTGAATTCAAAATAGGTTGTTTTAGTTCTTTTTCTTAAACTTACCGCTCCTTGGAGAGGGTATGATGAAATGGACTCAAATATTGTGGGTAAAAAATATAAATTGGCATGAGCTTTCTACTAGAAAGCCATTGATAATATGTACCAAGATACTTTAAAACAAATACAGCTTTTAAAATTTTCTGAATTATAGGCTAACAATTACAATATAAAAATAGCCCAGCTAATACCTGACTTTCAAATACACTTAAAGTAACTCAATACTTAAACTGCTGTGACAGCTGGGAAGGCACTGAAATGTGCCCTGCTGCTGCCCCTTTGGCTTCGCACCACATTCATACTGGGGCCACTCACGTGACTGAGCGACACGGTGGACACAGGAAGTGTCCGTCTATTCCTGTCCAATGCAAGACGCCCTCAGACTGACAATTTAGCTTTTAATATTCCGTCATCGCCTAACAGAACTTTGTAAGAACTGTGCTTACAGTGAGACAATTTCAACCCAATCCTCCTTCTTCCCTCTCTCCTCAGAGGTCAGAGCTGGGTCATAACGTTTGAAGGCTCTCCCTGGCACGGAGGACAGTGGGAGCCCAAAACCCATCTGCAGAGTAACTGGTTAGATTAAGCTGCTGGCAGACACCCACTAGTCCTGGGCAAGGATCTCGAACAGCCTTACTATCAGACAGAGATTACTGTAATCTTGATTATGCTGGATTGAACTTGATATTTGGTCAGCTGACCTCCCTATTGACCCAACCTGAATTTGTTCAAGTACAAATATCTCTTGCATGTTCCATGACAAAAATGTTCCCCCTGGCTTTTTAAATATTGAAGGTGGTCTTTTCTTTCTTACTATTTGTATATTTATCTATTATTATTATTATTTTAGCCTTATTTTGATTTTGTTTTTTATCATTTCCATTGCGTTTCCCAGTTGTTGAAGCACAGGAGGAGTGGATGCATAGAGATAACCACTGATGCGAGGGTTTTAGCGGATATAAGGGTACAGGGTAGAAGATAAGGAGGATGAGGGGATTTCAGGAGTAAAAAAATGAAGGTGGGAAGAGGGAACACTAGAACTGATTGTGATTACACAACTCATTTTAAAGGCGATTTAGCCATGACGAGAGGGGGTGGGGGGATGACAAGAGAATGTTCTAAAATTGATTATGCCAATAATTCTACAATTCTTCTTGATATGATTAGACAATTGAACTATTGGATTGTACGATATGTCCGATTGGATGCCAATAAAAATGTAAACAAGAAAGCAAGGCTCTTCCTGCCAACTCCTGCTCCCTCCGCTTTATCCTTCACCAGTCTGGCACATCTAATCCTATCTTGGCATCCGCCTCTAGGAGGATCTACACAGATAAAAGCAGATATGACTAGTTGCCTTTCTAATCACTTCATCCCTTCTTCCCTACGTAAACAAAGAATTCTCTAATTGGTTATGATTAGCAATACTAATGGGTCGTCAAAATTCTTGTGGAAAAATTAAATTGAAATATAATAGAATTTTTCTCCAAACTTTTTGAAGTTCCCTTGTTCAACCCTGTTAAAAGCTCCATGCTCCAAGCTCTCATCATTTTCCGGCAGACAGAGAAGGCAATGTGGCACAGTTCTGCCTACTGGGTAGAAGCTCAGAATTTCTGAGGTTGTCCCCTCTCTGTTCCCTTGCTTTTCTTGCAACCATGAAGTGACAAGACAACAAAAACCCACTCACTACAGGAAGTGGAGGGGAAAAAAATGACTGGGATGCTGATTATAGTATAGAAACACTACACCAAAGAATTCCTAAAATATTTAAATACATGTACTTTTTAGGTATATATTTTAATAACTAAGCATACTGTTTTAGTCTCAAGACTCTTCCTTAATAACATGATAAAGGCAGTTTTTCCCATTTCTTCTTTGCCAGACAGGTCTTTCTCCCACCAAGTAACACACAAATCCTGAATGGAACTCCATAGTTTTCGTTCAGATTTAGGCAATGCATATAAAATACCTAAAACAGAGTACAGTAATTTTTCAATTAGTAAAACAAATTTTAATTCAGATTCAATAGTTTATAATATGATTTTACAAATAATGTTTGCTAAAGAAATAATACTAGCTTATATTTAACATGCTAAACATTTATATACATTATAAAATGAAAATGATGCTAATGTAAAAATTATTTTATTACTGTTCCAAAAACAGGCTCAGTTGAACAGAGAATTTCAGAACTGAAGGTCTGTCTAAACATCCAGTTTTAGAAAGGCAGATGAGGCCATCAAAATTTAAGCATAATGTCCAAGGTAACACCAGAACTATATCACATCTACTAATCAATCATCCCTTAGGGCACTGACCAGTAACTTTGGCTCATGGATAAAAAACAGTACAAATTAATATAACATATTAAAAAACTACAGCACTTTCATTAACAGAAAAGCTCATTTAATAATGGGCTTATAGTCTATATATCTGAAATCCTTGATTATACATAAACAATATAAAGCTTCTGAATTAACTAGAAAGTTGGTAATAACTACAAGGCTAGCACTAATCATTTTATCAAAAGTTATTTGGATACTGTATAAACAAATTGATATTAATATTAACAACGCATTTGAGAGCCATTTTTATATTGATGGTGTTACTTTTTTTTTTTTTACTTTTTTAAAGAAAAAACCCTTTATTGTAAATTAGGTGAAGGTTCACACAGATCATCAGTTTTGTTTCAACACATCCATTGCAATTCTCTCATGACATCACCTCTTATCCCCCTTCCTCCCTGTTTCCATTCCTACTGTTTTCTAAACCCACTGAACGCTTTCCTTGGGTTAATGCTGCCCTGTGGAGCTTAAGTGGTTGTTTATTCGAACATAGGGGTGGGTTCAGTTCTAGACTGGAAGAGTGATTGACTAGACACCATCTTCTTGGAGGTCCCACCACTCCCTATACAACCAGTAGCCTGATCTCTTTTATGATTTTGAGTTTTGTTCTAAATTTTTCTCATACTCTATGTAGGATTTTCTATGATCCTTTTCAAACCAGGCACTTCAAGTGTTCTCGTCTCAAGTTTGTGGAGACTGATTGATTAAACAAAAAAAAACTAAATTCACTGCCATCAAGCTAATTCTGATTCATAAAAACTCTATAGGACAGAGTGGAACTGCCCCTTTAGGCTTTCGAGATTTGTAAATCTTTATGGGAATAGACAGTTT